CCCTACTCCTCCTCCTCCTCCTACTCCTACTCCTCCTACTCCTACTCCTCCTACTCCTCCTACTCCTACTCCTCCTCCCTCCCTCCCTCCTCCTCCTCCCTCCCTCCTCCTACTCCTCCTACTCCTACTCCTCCTCCCTCCCTCCCTCCTCCTCCTCTCTCCTCCTCTTCCTCCTCCTCCCTCTCGTCGCTTTCATCTGAGAGATACAACAGGGTGAAAGACCTGAAGAAGGATATTAACGCAGTCACCTCCCTCGTGTCTAAGGTACCCACACGGTCTCGATACTGTTTCGCTCCCTTGATTGTCCTCCTTGCTCCTCCTTCTCCTCCATCTCTTCCTCCCTCTTCCTCCTCCTCCTCTTTCTCCCTCCTCTTCCTGCTGCAGCCCCGTCGAGATGAACTTCGCAAGATGCTGGATCAGTTGGGTGCCCATCAGGTGGGTGGACTGTCAGCTCACGGCAAAGAAAGGAATGGGGGGGGAGGGAGACGGAGGAGGCTGAAGGAGGAGGAGGCTGAAGGAAGGGGGGGGGAAGGAAAGTTTGGCTGTTAACTTCCCTTCAAAGGATTTTTTGGGCTCGCTAGCTGTGGAAATGAAAGGGGTGGAGTGGAGCGAGAAGGAGAAAGAGTTTGAGGTATGCAGCCGGCTACTATCCTCAGTCTCCAACGCCACTGCTTCGTCCTCCTCCTCCTCCTCCTCCTCCTCCTCCTCCTCCTCCTCCTTCATCGCCTCTACATCCATCACCTTCCCTTCCCTCTCTCCCATGTTCCCCATATTCTCCCGCTGCATCTCCTGACAAGATTGCAAGGAAACAATGCGAAACGAGTTTGACATCGTCGACGTTGAGCGCAATGGCGACTGTCTCTTCACGTGTGCAGCTTTACACCTCAAAGCTCTTGAATCTGACGGGGTGAGGCAACAAAACCTCTTTGCCCTGCTCCCTCCAGCTCTGCACGAATCTTTGCTCTTTCCTTCTCTCCCTTGCTTCTTCCTTCTCCTTAGTCGTTTCCTCCCCTCCTTCCCTCCTCCTTGCAATTCATCCATTCATTTCTTGATGGCGCTAGGGGGCGAAAATGCTGGCTGGGCTGTCACGAGAAACGAGAAGAAAGCTGGCGCTGGAAGTTAGAGCACAGGTAACGCCCTCCTCCTCCTCCTCCTCCTCCTCCTCCTCCTCCTCCTCTGTCTGTTGCTACTTCTACTGCTCCTCCTCCTCCTCCTCCTCTCCCCTTCCTCATTCGCTGCCAGGTCATTGCGCTGCTCCTTCAGTCCAACCTCAGCATGGGGATCCGGGCCGAAATCGCCGACTCTCTCCAGGACGCGCTTTACGGAAGCAGGAACGACCGAACTAGCAAGGTCCCTGCTCTCCTCCCCTCCTCTCCCCTTCCCGCTACTCCTGCGCTCCCTCTCCTCAGCCTCTCTTGCTTCACCCCCTCGATCTCCTCGTGTCCTCCTTCCCCTCTCTCCCTCGTGCTCGCCAGCATAACGAAGTTGTTCAGCTTCTGCGCGAGGAGGCTCAACGCCGCTGGGGGAAGCAGGCTCTTTCCTCCCCAGTGAGTCGTGAGAAACTCAGGAGTCAGTCGGCTGTCGAGCTCTACGCGAGCGTCATGGCGCAGGACGGAATCTTCGGGGAGAGAGTCGAGCTACAGGTCCTGCTTCCTCCCGGCCCTCCTCGTCCCTCATCGACCATCTTTCAGATCCTCTCCATCCTCCTCGCCGCCCCCGTCCATCTCTTCTACTTCGTCAACGGACACTCCCCGAGCCTCTCCAACCCGACTGAGGTGACCCGATGCCTTCCCACGCTGCTTCCTGACTGCCGCAGACACTTGGGGGAGACAAGCAGGGGAAACCTTTCCTCCTGCTGCACTCCAGCAGAGAGAGCCATTACCAGCTGCTGCTGAACAAGGAGGAGGATGAAGCCATTTCACCAGCCTACTACCTGGAGACTCCCCCAAGACCCAAGGGATGGAGGAAATACCTCTGCAACATGTAGCGGACTGAGAGATCCAGCCAGCATGCAGCCTTGTTGTGGTTTGTTGAAGACCGCATAGAGGCAACTGGGAAGCTTCTCATTGACACGAGAACCCTTCACTGGTTTCTTAACATGAGTTCAGTTCATCACGATACTGACGGTAGAGGTCATCACAGCCCTTGTGGCTTCAGAGGTGGAGAAGAGACTTGACAGACCTGTCGATCTCACTTCTTGATTTCCTCCTGTGAGCAAACCATTCGTCAGGACGGGACGTGGGAGGGAAAGTTTTCTTCTACCGTCATTGTTGGCACGACGTTGAAGAGATCATCCACCAAACCGATGTCTGACACCTGAACAGTGTAAGGCAGCAGCTTCTGCTGATTTCAAGCCCAACCTGGAAGATCGGCGCATCGGGATCTTTGTTGATCGCGACGATCGTCTTGGAGTCCTTCATGCCCGCAAGGTGCTGGATTGCTCCTGTGAAGCCTTCAGACAAGTCGGTCAGCTGCGGTGGCTCACAACCTGAGATTCCAATAGCGAAGTAGAGATCAGGAGCGACGACTTTGCCAGTTTGTCCAATCTGCAGTGGTTGAATCATCATGAAGTAAACAGGGTCAAAGCCGTCTGTCGCACCTGCGCATCGTTGGGCATGTATCCTGCATCCACCGCAGCTCTGGAAGCTCCAACAGCAGCTCCCAACTTGTCTGCAAACTTGTAGCTGCAACAGGTTTACGCTGTGCCAACAAAAGTTGTCATGAACGCTCACAGCATCTGAAAGTTCTCGCTGCTCTTCAGTCCCCGTCCGCCAGCAACAATCACGCTAAGAACGAGAATCAGGGCTGGAGCGCTCCCCCCCCACCCCTCCTTCTCTCACTTGGCAGCTGTCAACTCGGGCCTGTCTGACTTGCTGAGCTCCTCCGACTTCCATTCTGAAGCGCCTGAGGATGACCAACATGTCAATACACGTCGAGAGTTTCGTCTCCATGTTTCAGCACCAACTGCAGCACTGCTGATCTCTTCGACACTTGCGCTTCCATTCATCTGCCATCGCGACACCATCAGTCCCCGAGCAGCAGCGATCGGTTGGGCGACCTCAGCCTTATCGAAGCTGGTTGCTCGAGTTGTCATGACCTTCACCGCATCCGAGCTCTGTGAATGTGTCAGAAATCATCGCGGCAGGTTCAAGTGAAGGACCTTGACAGTGGCAAGAGCATTTCCAGCATAGATGGGACGGACGAAAGTGTCCTGTTAGCGAGTGACTAGGTCACAATGAATCCTTTTGCTGTCACCTCAGATTCGATGGCGATGACTTCGGAGATCTAAGAGAGGAAGGTGTCACTCTTGCTGCTTCACCTTGGACCTCAAGTTTCCTTACCTGGTTCACATCGAGCTTGGCTGCTACTCGAGGCAACACTGACTTGGTACAGGCCGACGAAGCTCCCATGATGTGGGTGTACTTGTTCGAATTCTGCAGGTTCAAGGTTAGCGGTGATCAAGCGCCTGGAAGGAATTCACCTGAGCGTGCAAGATCAGCGCTTCGAGCTCCTCAGCCAATCTCCTCTCAAGATGAGGAGCCGACGCCTTCAACACTCGCTTCACTCCAGAGATCTTGGCCGCTTCCTGTGTGCAACAATATCTCAGCATTCTACATGCAGCATGAGAGCAAACGAGGAGAGACGACGTACCTCAACAACCTTGTCGCAGTTGTTGCCAGCCACCAGCAAGTCTACATCACCTCCCAACTTGGACGCGGCAGTGACCTGTTGCACATCAATGCTGATCGAGAACGGTTCTTGGAAGAACAAAGGATACCGCACTGCGCGTGATGGCATTCAAGGCCGAGTTGTCGTGCTCAGCAATCACAAGGGTGGATGCGAATCTCCTCTGAAAGTTGGAGCATCCAAAGCTAACAGACAAACTTATCAGGTACTTGTTGCTCACAACATTTTCTTTCATCTTCTCTTCTTCACAAGGTCCCTTTGCTAACGAAGATTATTCAGCATGGTCTGTGTTTCCTGCTCTGCCTCTATTCTTCCCCTCATCTGACATACTAACTCTCCTCCTCCTCCTCCTCCTCCTCCTCCTCACCGTCGTACAGCACGGACAAGTCCCTGCATGTCTGCGACCCAAGTAACTCAATCACCTACCCCACCCCCTATCATACCCCACCCTATTTCTTCTCACCCTACCCTTTTCAGTGCGACTACCCACCCATGCCTCCAGGTACCCTGAAAAGTACACGATGTCACCAGTACTTTACACCGATGGTACCCCTACCCCTGATACGGTCCGGATGACCCACCTTCGATTGTTTCCTTCTTTCTGTATGCACCCCATCTCTGCACCACAAATTCCACCCCCTCAAACCCTACCCCAGCCCAACACTCCCTTTGCAGGTAAACTACCAGTACCGGTTAAATCAATTGTTTGAATGGGGGTACTTGTCCCTGCAGGGCATGACTGCACCCCCCCATTTCACCACCCACCCCTTCAGACCTCCCCGGCGAGGCGGGCCAGTCCGTTTCACAGGAAAGTGCTTCTATAGTCAATATTTAGAAGTGGATAATCAGCCCTGTAGTCAATTAGTTTCTACAAGCCTGGCAAACTCTCTTCAGCCACTAGTCGTACTAGCCTGGCCATGGCGGGCAAGCAACATCACCAAGAGGTGAAGGAGGAGGAGGAGGAGGAGGAGGAGGAGGAGGAGGAGGAGGCTGTCGAGACTTGGTTGAGCCGAACTTGAATCCTTCTCATCCTGATCGGCCCAAACGGTTGAATCATCGATGGAGAGTCCGGGGCAGTGTAAGGCAGATCAGTTCCAGGAAGGACTGGTACTGTAACTCAATATTAGGAGCAGAAGGAGCAGGAGGAGCAGGAGGAGCAGGAGGAGCAGGAGGAGCAGGAGGAGCAGGAGGAGCAGGAGGAGCAGGAGGAGCAGGAGGAGCAGGAGGAGCAGGAGGAGCAGGAGGAGCAGGAGGAGCAGGTGGAGCAGGAGCGAGACGTGATGCAGAAAGTATAGGAGGGAGGAGGGTGATAGACAAGGATCTGGCACAGGCTGGGGGGCAGACAGCCTCTGTGACTTCCGCAACGCTCGGCTGGTCCATGAGCTAAACCCCCTCACCCTGCTGTCAGGAGATGCCGTGGAGGAAAGATGTTGAGGTAGAGAAGCCTGACGATGATGGGTGGGGGATCAGGACGCGGCATGTGCGAACAGAAGAGTATGCAGGCAAGTGCTGAGAGCAACGGGAGGGTGGGGGGGGGGGAGCTCAAGATTCATCGGGGTTGTGACAAGAGAACTTGTAGATGTTGTGAGGTTTCAGAGACATCGCGCGGGCTACGACGAGTTGTTCGTCCAACAAGTTGGCATGTCGAACAGCCAAGTCGAAGAAAACTTCACCTTGCCGGCTGACTGACAGACTCTGTAGAGGCTCCCGAAGAAGAAGATGCATCACGAGAGATACAGGTGATTCCTTTCCCTCCTGCCGTGCATGCTAACGCTCGATTAGTCCTTCCCATCTGAACCATGACTTCTCGGTACTTGGCGGCGGTTGCTGCTTGCTGCAGGACTGACTTGCTGTTGCCTCTGGTCCCAGCAGCTCGAGAAGCAAGCTGAGATCCAGCCAGCTGAGAGAGCATCACCTGAGAGAGCATCACCTCCCCGTGACTTCAAACAAAGAACATCACATCCCCGTGACTTCAAACAACATCCGAAACTTGTTCTCTGACCTTCTCATAGAAACCGACGGTCTGGACAGGAAGGCCCCGCGCTCTCGTCAGGTCCGATCGATGCAGAGGCTCGTTGCGATGCAATCCGGACGGCATCTGCTGCGGTTCTGCCTCCTCCATTGGAAGACGAGCATGTCTCAGAGGAGCCATGCCTCACGGCAAGTCTTCCTCTTCCAGCGCCGGATGGCTCGCAAACGCACTAGTCAGATCATGGAAAGGCTGCTGGCGAGCTGCATCCATAGGAACATGGTTCGGAGGATCGGGATTCTGATTTCGAACAGACATTATGGCAGGGAGGTCAGGAGGCTGCTGAGAGCATGGTGACTTGTGCTGCTGCTTCCTCCTTTCCGTTGAGATTCGATGACAGGCAAGAGTTGACGTTTACCTCTGAGCCTCACGACGGCAAGGAAGACATCTCAATACGCAATCAAAACGTTTCACACATGTCAATCAGCTCCAGCAAGTCTGCGAGGTATCAGTGCAGAAGATCTAGTTCTTGGTCGTGAGCTTGTGGTAGAGGTGCTTTACCGTATGTATCTAACCTTGATGGAAGAGCTATCAAGCCGTAAGCTTTCTATCCCCCCCCCCACTTGCGATGTTGTTTCTCTCCCTCCCTCCTCAGTCCCTCCCTCAGTCCCTCGTTCCCTCCTTCAGTCCCTCGTTCCCTCCCTCCCTCAGTCCCTCCCTCGGTTTTCTCTTCCCGCCCTCCGTCTCTCTGCCCCCCCTCTCCCCCCCCCCTCTCCCTCCCTCCTCTCTCCCTCCCTCCCTCTCCCTCTCGCTCGGACTAGTCAGATCTGACGTCATGAGCGTTAGCTCTTTGAATGGCTCAAGTCGTACAACCTTGCTCAAGTCACTCGACTCGTCTGCGACACCAGAGGCTTCCATGTGAGAAGAGCCGAGCTACAAGATTCTCACGCTGATTCCCCGACAGCAGGGGGGAGCGACACAATGATGGTCATGCAAGCAAGCACACCTATCATCGATCACCGATACGTACATCAGCCAAGTGGCAGAAGCCTCCTCAAGCCCACAAGGAGCTGGACGACTCCAGCTCCAGCTCTGACAGCACGGCATGTCTGTCGTCAAGCATGCACAACTTCGTGGAGCTGGCGTCGGACGACGTGACGGTGAAGGCGGGAAGAGAAGAGGATGTCGATGACGGGGAGGAGGAGAGACGAGTGAGATCGTCGCTTGCTGCTGCTGGTGATATTGACGAGTGTGTTTGTGAAACTCGAGGGTAAGACGAACAGCAGGAGGCAAAGGGAGGGAGCCAAGGCAAGATTCCTGGAAGGAAAGGCAGGCCCAGCTAAAGTCGACCTCGAGCTCTGAAGCTCAAAACGCCAACAGACAGCCCGTCGTGCTCCGCCCTGTACGGATGATCGGCAGCAGGAAGACGAGGGGGGTTCCCATCATGTTTTCCTCACCGGAGCCGTCGGAGGAGGAGGAGGTGATTCATCTCCCTGCTCCTCCCTTTAGTTCCTGACGCGTTGAGGTCAGGAGTTGACCTCAGGTGCCATGGCGCCTGCCGCCCCTCCCTCTGCTCCTTCGCTGCCTCCTCACACAACTTTCACGAACAAAGTCTTCGACGTCTGAGTTTCTTTCCTTTCTTATTTCCTTTCTCCTCCTCCTCCTCCTTTCCTTCCATGCATCTCTACACCGTGACAGATTTACTACAAACACAAGCAAGCAAGATGTTACAATCGTTGCAGAAGAGACAAAACTGAACAGACTAGAAGCTGTTCGACTGACGTGAAAGAGGACGAGGGAGCGGTCGAGCCTTCAGTAGACGGACTCACACAACTCTTCAGCACGGAAGGCCGACTGGCCCAAGTCCTCGCAGTTGATCAGGTCCAGCGACTTGATGAGCTGATTCAGCACATGGCGAGCAGATAGGCGGAGATGGTCCAGCTCCTGCTCATGCCGTCACCCAGCAGTTCAAGGAGGTCAAATTCCTTGTCAAACTCACCTGGCGGAAGCAGTTGAGCTGCTTCTTGGCTTGCTTGAGCTTCATAGCTAGTCTCTTCTTAGGAATCTCTCGCTCCATCGCTAATGATTCACGTCAGAGCTTCCCCTCTCCCTCCCCCCTCCCCTCCCCTCTCTCTGCCCTTCACCTTCTTCGATTCTTGGAATCTCCCACCAGTCAAGCGAGTTGAGAATGTAGAAGATATGCCCATCGTCGAGGGGATATAACAAACTGCCATGCACACTCTCACCTGAACCTCTTTCACTCTCCAGAGCTCCTTACCTATTCTTGGCCTTGATGTGTCTTGACATCAGCACACTCCAAACCATCCTAAAACCGAGTGAGGCCAACAGCGACGAGGCGAGCAAGCTTCGGGATTACTTCTTCATAAGAGGAGGGAACAGGTTGTGGGTGTCTAGATCCCATTTCAACCATCGAATTCCATAGCTAATCCTGCGCATGAATTCTCATCTCCTCCTCTTAACCCCAACATGACGCCTGCACCTTCCTACAAACTCTCGATTCTCTCGCCATGGTCTTCCCCATCCTCCAAAATTCTGAGCAGCAGCCGTCAGTCCCTGCCCCGCAGCAAACATTCGAAGCATGTACCTCATGGGTAGGACTGAAGGGCTCGTGTGACAGGTGAGCTTTGCCAGGGAGGATACGCAGGAAGTTGTCCTACAACAAGGAAGCAGCTTCAGAGGTCTCGCCATGCTGACTTCTCCTCCTTACAGAATGAGAAACGTGATGCCGCTGGTTATCGTAGACAATCTGATCATCGCCGTAACACGCCGAGTGCACGTAAAGGCCTGACGATCAGGTCAACAATGCAGGAGGAGCGATGGTGAGTCATAGCTCCACCAAATCGATCTCCTGGCTTCAGGCAGATCGGCTCCTGCAGCCTCATCTCCTGGAACTGATCGACGCTGGGCTCATGAAACTTAGAGTAATGGCAGACCCAATCCTTTTGAGATTCTTCTTTCCCTTGATATCCATTCTGTCAAGACTCGTTAAGCACCTCCCAACATACCAAACCCCCTCCTCTACAAAGGCAATCTCTACAAGACCAGCCTATTGCAACCAGGGTTTCCTACTTCTACTAAAGGACAACGGAAATAAACAAAGGTAGATTGTTCGCTGACCTGGGTGCTCCACACGGTCATCGGACCCAAGTCGCCTCTGCAAGAGGAGTGAATTTCAAGCTACAAGCACCGGGAAACAAGTCGAACGAACCTGACCCACACCGAGAAGACGTAGAGCGAGTCTACTGGCAAGAAATTGCAGGCTTCAATGTTGACCATGATACCAGCAAACCTGACGAGAGAGGAGAGCGACTCTCCGTCAGAACTCAAAGGATTTTCAGTTCAACAGAAATTACGTGTGGTCATAATAGTCGCTGGTCTCGACCTCCACATTCCTGTGTACGATGGTCGTCGCCGCGCGTTGCCTTGGTAGCATATCCATCTTGTGCCACAACACGTCATGAGGTTTCGCAACGAAGGCAGGGAGGAACAATAACCAAATTATGTCTGACACAGATTCTTATGAAGATCACGCTGATCAACAACAAAGACATCTCCCACTCTTCTTCATATGGCCAACTCATCAGATCCTTACACTGAACTTCACTTCGTTGCGCTCTGCACACTCTCGATGCCCTGACCACCATACACCGCTACTGTCGCTACTTCTCCTTGCCTCTCTCATACTTCCCTCAGCTATCTCCCTCCTCTCCTGCTCTCTCTTCGTCTTCTCTTCTCTTTCTCGCTCCTCCTCCTCGTCAATCGCCTCTGTCTCCGGCATTTTCGCTTAATCACCCCCACCCCCTAGATTCCTGTTGGAGTAACGGGTGTTTGTATACCCTACCCCGAAACTCTCCAATGGAAATTGGGGTCAGGGTGGTTCTTTTTGGTAGCCGAGGAGTGGGCTGATGAAGAGTGGGTGGGGTAGCATCAGTGGCACTAAATGAGGGGTAGTGAAAATTTTGGAAGGGTGATGAGTAGGCATCAGCCACAAGAGACCCCTGTAAACGACCTGATTAAAGAGGGTGTGAAGATCTGGGGGTGGGTGAATAGATGAATGTAGGGGTACATGCAAAACAAACATCACCATGGGGTCGGTGGTCCTAGCAGCATAAAACAGAGATTGCAAGACTGGGGTGGTACATGTTGGGGACCGATCGAGAAATTGAGTGGGTAGGGGTAGTATTGGTAACCGGTGATAAAATCTGCAGGTTCCCCGAATTTAGTAGGTGGGGTATTTTTCTTGGGGGTATGGACCATGTTGGGTACTACCGTGGTAGGGTAGGGTAGGGTAGGGTAGGGTAGGGTAGGGGTAGGTCATCACAAGGGTACCTGGGTGTTTGTCGAGTATAGCGAGGCAGGCCTGACAAAAACTGGGGAACAGGAAGGGGTAGAGGATGTCCGAGGGGTAGAATGAGGTCTCTAGGGGTGGGTTAAAACATGTTATAGAAGGGGGTAATTGGACAAAGGGTAGGGTCCAACGCTCTCTAAGGAAACGGCGTAGGGGAAGGGGGTAGTCAATGTAAAAGGTGGGTGTGATATTGTCCATGAGGGTACGATATTGGCAAATGGTGGGTATATACATGGGGAAAAGTGGGTGGGGGTAATTAATTGTACCGGTATGAGAGAAATAAAGAGGGTACATAACATGGTGTTGATGAGGTGGTGGCCAGCCATGGCCTGGGGAGTCTTAAAAGCGGCGCCGGCAGTAGCGTTCAGCATCATAGCGTTGACGCTCGTTCAAGGTGAGGAGGAGGTGGAGAAAAGAGAATACAGACGAGGGAGGAGAGAGGAGGGAGGAGCAAGAGAGGGGAAAAGGGAGGGAATCGGATGAATCGGATGAATTAGAGCCGTAGGAGGAGAGGAGGGGAATCGAAGCAAGCACGACGGGGGCATGGGGAGGGTGAAACCTGATAAGGTCAATTATGGGCAAGAATGGATGAAAAACAGTGCTGCATGAAGAAACGCTCTGCTGCCGAATGATGGGAGGGTCCTATCGAAAGCAAGAATCGGACTGAACGCAGGAGGGAGAACGAGGGGAGGGAAAGTTAGGGTCGTACACTCACTAAGACAGATAGTATGATTTGGATTGACCATAGCAAGCGTTCTAGCTTGTCCTGGCCAGCGTCTCCTGTCGTACTGGTACTGACAGAAACACACCAGTTGTCTTTAAGCAATCTTTGCTGCTGGGAATCCATGCCACCGCCATGGCAGCGGCGATGGTGGCCCTCCTGCCTTACGGGATGACAATGTGCCTGTGCCATGGTTGTGAATGAGCGCTGAAACGGCTGGTCAGGTACAGACTGGAATCGTTGACAACGAGCGAGTCCGAGCGAAACCTCCAGGATGTGAGGGACGGGCACAGGATATGGCAGGTGGGTTGGTCAGCTTCATGCTTCTTGGGCAAGAAAACAAATCATGAGCTGGAGCTGCAGATAGCAGGAGGGATTTCAGCGCTCGTAGGGCTCGTCGTGATCAGTGAGCCGAGGGAGGAGGAGGAGGAGGGGGGGGGGGGAGAGGAGGTAGAGGAAGTGGGGAGAGGGGAAGTGGGAAGGAGGAGGAGTTGGGAGCTTCTAAAGCTCTTCACAGTCACTAACAAGCTGCTGGTGCATCACTCGGTACGTCGCCGTCTCGGCAGAGGGTGTTGGCCGCCTGACATACCCGTAGCCCCTCGCCTTGTCGCTGCACGGAATGTTTGGCCTCTTGACTGTGGCGGGAATCGTCATGCAGATGTCCATAGGGTGGCTCAAGGTCGGCGATGCTGTCAAGTGCGATGGGCTGACCTGCTGTGGTCCAGTATCAGTCAGTGTCGACGAGCGGGCAGAAGGTCCACCGCTGGCATGGGACGAGCGGTGAGGAGGGAGGGGGATGTTTAGGAGGAGGAGGAAGAGGACTCCGTAGCACGACGAACAGGAGCAGTGGGAGGAGGCGGCGGTAGTGGTGGCTCTGACTAGCCTCTTAGGCTTCGTGGTTCACACGTTGGGCATCGTAGCGTTGCTGCTGGGGGCACGAGAAGTCCTGTCGGTGGACAACATCTACTTCATCATCATAGCAGTCTGCGCGGTTCTGGTGAGAATGTGCGAGCTGGCGAGGAATGAGACTGATGGCTATCAAGGTCTGGCTGATGGTAGTCCTCCTCCGCCTCTTCGCCAGCTTTCCCGACAGCCACGAGGAGTTCGCATACACCAAGCAATGATCTTCATTCATGTACGTTAAAACCCAGCGGGCCCAACTTATCAATCACGAGAAACAGCGAGAGACTCTAGCGGCTCACTCGTTAGAGTCTTCTTGCGCGACGGCATGTCGGTACAAGAGTATGTACGCCTGCTCCTCCAGCGTCTTGTCCAGCTCGGATTGCTGCACGACCTTGACAACCTCATCGTTCATCTCTAACCAAGCTCCATCCACCCGACTGTAGGCCACGTAGTGCCCCGACTCCAGCCCCCTTCCGATGTGCACGATGGCGCCGATGAGCTCGTACGCCTCCGATCGTCCGTCCTCGAGCACGGTGCTCAAGTTGAAAGTGTGCGGGACCGCAACCGACCTGCGCTCCTTGGTGAAGGACTTGGACGACTGCTGGAAGCTGAACCTCTTGAGGCAGATCAGAAGGTACTCCCCGCAGGACTCCACTAGTGTCCTTTGCGTTCCATCGTGCTTGTCTCCGACTTGCAGGCCTGACTCAGTGCGCGTGTAGTCCGTCAGGCAATCCTCCAGAGAGTCCCCGCTGATGGGAGAGTGGATCATCCAGTCCACCTCCTGCTTGACGTTGCTCATCCCCATCGACTCAGAGGAGATGTGGATCTTGAAGTTTATCCCCATCGTCTTCTGCAGCGACTGCGACACGGGCTTGAACTGGGCGACGTGGTTGATCATGTACAGGAGGAACTCCGCTGCGCACTCCTGCTGTCCTGCAACATGTCCAGTCGTCATCAGCTTGTCCAGGAGGGAAACGATTCTCGAGGGTACAATGCAAATTCTGCCTGCCCGTTTGACGAGCTCAAGCCCAGCTGATACTCTGGAATCAACGGACTTGTTACGGATAGCCGAGATGACTGACGCAATGTGCCAGGCGATCTCTGACTTCTCGCTCGTGTCGTTGCCATCCAGGCTATCAAAGATGACGCTCTCGAACCCTTCGATGTTCGCCATGAGCTGCAGGCAAGCGTTCATGAAGCAAGTCGAGCCAAGATTTCTGATTCCTACTCGACGGTGTGTGTCCATTGTAATCTTGCCCTTCATAGCCGAAGGCTGCCTGGAGCCACCGCCGTCCTGTCTTCGCAGGGCATGGTTCCGCTGAGACAGGTGCGACAGAACAAAGAGAGAAGTGACGTTAGAAGACAACAGGCTCATGTCCACTGTGTAAGTCTTCCATCTAGGTTTCATCGGAGGCGCTTCCACGTACAACAAGTCATCATCTTCCCCGAAGTTTTCCCCGTCTCGCTCGATCTCATGGTTGCCTTCTCCCCCGCTTCCGTAACCCTCGTCGAAGTTCTCAGAGTCAAGCGCGTAGGGAGAACGGCCAAGTCTTTTCAGCCCGACCCGAATCGGAAGCGATCGACCCTTGTAGTATAACATCCAGAAGCCCAAGATCGTTCCAAGACAGCCTGGCCAGTAGGAGTAGTACGAGTTGTCCGAGGCTTTGCATGTTCCCGCATCAGCGCCGCCAGCAGGCGCATTGTTTACCTCATCTTGCTGCTCTATCCGCACTTTTGTCTCTCCGTCTTCGAAAGGATATCTTTCAATTTCGATCGATTTGCTTGGGTATTCGTACTTCGAGCTCGCATATGCTGGAGCGGCGAAGCTTTCATTCTCCTTCTTCGCCACCTCTGAGAAAGTTGAGAGAGAGGAGCGGAAAGGAGGACTCTCTTCGATTGCCTTTGTCCTGTGGGGTTTAGTGGCTATACCTTTCTTGAGAATATTTCCGCTCTCGTTATCGTCTGCTGTCAGTGTATACCGATAGACATCAGCAGCTTGTTTCGTGTTTTTATGGCTCAAAAGGGAGTATCGAGCCGAGCAACTCCCTCTCTTGATCATTTGCATTTGCCCCATCTTCTTAGCGTGGCCCATGGTCTCACAATAGATGTGTACACTATCCAGGTCGCAGTGAGGCTTTGGATAGTCTGTGAAACAAGTCCAGTTCCCGCAGCTTGATTGACACCCGACGACTTCTGCGATGACCGAGTGAGACGATCGAAGCTTTTCTGAAAGATCACGTTCACAGGTCAGACATTTTAGCACGCAGCCGTTGCACTCAGTCTGTGAGCATTCCTGGACAAGTTCTGTCACTCAACTAGATCGCAGGGGTCAGCAAGGGCCCACCAGTTGCAGAGTAGGGTTGGTAGCTGTGGAGAAGTAGCCCGCATGGAAAGTGAGAGTAGATTCTTCGAGGAGCGAGAAAGCTTCAACGGCCTCGCTCGAGCTCACAAGTTTTGATACAAAGTTCAAAACTAGCCAGTACAAGAAGGTAGACCCGGATTTCAGTAGCATCCATCTGCAGCCATGGGATGTCTTCTTTGCGATCGCATGACCATGGCACGTTCAGGCATTCATGGCAGGGACACGAGAACCTAATCGCTCCAGAATGTCAGGACCTGCACAACAGCGTTAGTTTGATATCATCGGAAGAAGAGCACACATCGAGGCAATCAAGCCTTCTTCTTGTCTCTGACTTCAACTCTGTCTTGTCTTCCTATTCATCTTCTCAAAATTCCCTGTTGTCTCTCATCCATTGTCTTATTACTCTCTTACTCCCAGGAAAGACCTCTGATCAGACTCATTTCGATGAAAATATTCAACTCTTCGTCCAAGATGGAATCACTGAATCCATGATCGTTTCCTGATCCTCCCTCCCTCTTCCCCCGCCCTTCTCCATTCATATCCTCCTCCTCCTCCTCCTCCTCCTCCTCCTCCTCCTAGCCCTCGTCGCTTTCAACCATATTTGCAATCTTTCCCCCCTCTGCATGCTTCATCGCCAATACCCCTACCCCCTAAATACACCTTTTCCACCCCTCCATTTCCCTACAAACTACCCCCCTCTAATCAGCATTTTCCTACATCCCAGCCCACAGTCCACCCCACGAGTCGCAGCCGCAGGCACCCCCGACTCATCAATACCACCCCATCTTATACGTTTCAGTACCCCCCTTTTCCACATGACCCCAAGACACTCTGCTTCCATCTGAAGCTGTCCAGACCTCATTCGTGGTTGACTGGGAGACTGGGGGGTGGGGTGGTCTTCAACGGACACCTCCACAGAGTGAGCTCACCTCAGGATGATTTCAAGGAGGTATCAGAGATACCGGTCCATTTGAGTTGCTGTTGTGGGATATTTGATGGTGGGGTACTGTCAATGAGAATGGGTGGGTACTTGAATTCTGTGGATGGGAAAAGTAGGGGGTGGTGGGAGGAAGGAAAGGGGGTACTGCCTCGTAGAGGGCGTAGGTATGGCTGAGTGGACGGATGAACCTGGAGGAGGGAGGGAGGGAGGGAGGGAGGGAGGGAGGGAGGGAGGGAGATGTGGGGAGAGGTCAGAATAGAACATGAAGACAGGAGAAAGATGATGCAAGCATGATGGCTTGAGCTGTCGATCTCATTCGATGTTGAGGAGGAAGAGGGACTGCAGGGGAAAGGTGAGCGCGGAGGCCAGGAGTCCTAGTTCCCATCGCAAGAGTTGTTCGCACTGCTGCTGCCCTGTGCATGATTGCCTCACACCTTATTCTTCAGTACTTGTATTCTTTGTTCCAATGGAGCGCTCGACGAGGGGTGAGAGGCCGAAATGACCAACTTTCTCCCTGCGCTGACCCTCGGTCTCCCAGTTCAGAGCGCCACGATCACTGGCACGGAAGTGCGGGAGGAGGGAGGGAAGAAGTTCACTGTGTACAAGGTGGAGCTACGCAGTGAGATCGGACCATGGGTGGTGTGGAGGAGGTGCTCTGATGCATGCTGCTGGCGCATACAGACTGACCGAGTTTGTTGCACCCGTTCTGGCTCGCAGGTATCGACAGTTTCACGAGCTGGACGCGAAGATCAAGGAGAGGTATGAGAGGGGTGGAGATTCTGTGCTCCGCTGAACGACAATGACGTCCAGGAATCCCTCGTTCCCCGGTCGACTGCCGCAAAAGAAGATGGGAGGCAACATGAAGCCCGAGTTTGTCGAGGAGAGGAAGAACTTTTTGCAGCAGTACTTGAAGGACTTGGTGAGCTCTCGACCGCTCCTCCCGTCATGTTTAGTCCTCCTGCCATTCTTCGTTGTCTCCACCCAGCTCACGGTGCTCTTCGCAGGTTGCAGACCCTAACGCGGCTGGGAGCCCAGAGTTCAGAGCATTCATTGATGCCAACCGGAGCTGCAGTGGGAAGCTCTCCGATGCCCTGGGGAGCGGGTCGGGAGCTTCTTCGAGCACAAAGCAGAAGTTGCAGCGGAAGATTGCAGTCCTGGGGTTCATGGGAGTGGGTGAGATCCATGGGGTGCGGTGGTTGCAAGGTTGACACGAGTGCCGCAGGGAAGAGTGCTGTCACTATCCAGTTCACCGAAGGTCACTTTGCAGAGCCGTACAGCCCGACGATTGAAAACACGTTTCAGAAAGTGATCCGGCACAAGGTCCGGGGATGTTGATAGCTGGTGTTTCTTCTCACGCGAGATACAGGGGATCGAGTACCAGACAGACATTTTGGACACGGCAGGGCAGGACGAGTGAGACGAGCTCTGACGGCTGTGGGGGAAGAGGTTGTGACACTATGGCACGCAGATATCAAATATTTCACACGAGATATGCGATGGGGATCCACGGCTACATCCTCATGTACCCTCCACTTGTCGTCTGTTTGGAGGGGCTGAACCTGGCTAACCTCAGGTACTCCATCGTGTCGAGGAGGTCCTTCGACATGGTCAGCACCATCCGCGACAAGCTGTTGAATGCTGTGGGGACGGAGAACATCCCTCATGTGAATTTCTGCGCTCTTTGCTCTCCGCTTCTGATGGATGAGGTCAGGTGCTGGTGGGCAACAAGAGCGATCTGGTCCATGAAAGGGAGGTGGCTACGGAGGAGGGACAGCGGCTGGCGGATGAGTGGGGCGTTCCATTCATTGAGAGCAGTGCCAAGTTCAACACCAACATCGAGGAGATCTTTCGGAAGCTGATACTCCAGTGCGAGGTTCTAAAGTTTGATTCATACTGCCTGCGGATGACGATGACGACAGGCTGGTCAAGAAGGATCTGATGGGGAGAAGAAGTGTTTGATCATGTGATCTGCTTGACTCATGTAGAGTATGTCAACGAATTCATGAATTTCAAGAAAGCAACAAGCTTATGATGTTGCCAATATCTCCATCTCAACTTAAACCAAAAGTCTCGCGAGATGGTTCGTACCAACTATTGGCTACGAACTAGGGATCCTGTAGGAGAGGTTTGTGAATTGAACATTTTTGTCTCGAATATGCTTCACTTCTGCTTATTTGGCTTTAGAAAGCTCGTTGGAGAGCCAGTCAAGTCCCTCGTAAAGCCCCTCGCCTGCAAGGAAATGAAATCAATTTCGAATCCGACAGGCATCGCATGAGTGGGACGAGAGAACCAAAGATGAAGAGAAACGAGTCAGGCCGTGGATAGAAAGAGAAGATGTGGAAGGAGGTCAAGATCATCACCAGAAGTAGCGCACGTGCCCTGGATGTACCAAGTTCTCTGTCGGAGAGATTGCAAGCCCAATTTCTCCTGCGGGGACAGCAATCAATCAGAACATGAAAACAACAGCCACTGAGCTCGCAGGGCTTACGGTGAGTTCAGCGGCTGTCATGGCATTGGGGAGATCTTGTTTGTTTGCGAACACCAACAAGACAGCGTTACGAAGTTCATCTTCGTTGAGCATGCGGTGAAGCTCGTCCCTCGCCTCTGAAACACTGAGCCATCTTCGTCAAGTCGATCGAACCTTGATGAAAACAGCATGCGCTACCGATCTCTATCGTTACTGTCGACCACAAAAATCAGCCCTTGAGTGTTGGCGAAGTAGTGGCGCCAGAGCGGTCGGATCTGAGCATGGGGTCAGAATACTCCCTTTCTATCGCCACCGCACTCTCACCTTATCCTGACCGCCCACATCCCACACGGTGAATGAGATGTTCTTGTACTCCACGGTCTCCACGTTGAAGCCAATGGTGGGGATCGTAGTGACGATTTCTCCTAGCTTCAGCTTGTAGAGGATAGTAGTCTTACCAGCCGCATCCAGCCCCACCATCAGGATACGCATCTCTTTCTTGCTGAACAAGCGTTGAAAAACGCGGGAAAATGCCAACCCCATGTTGACAAGTTATCGCTCTGCAGGAATAATGGTGTCAGCGAAGGGTAAGAAATGGCGCGTGATGGAGCGGCAAAGAAGGAAGAGGCGAGCAAATAAATGTGCGAAACATGATTCTACTTTTTCTCTGACCAATTTTCTCATTCAGGGGGGAACTGAAAACAATGAGAGTGAAAAGATGACAGATTAGGATGCATTCATCGCACATGGTGCTGGTTCGCTTTGAACACACTGTGTTCAGTCTCTCTCAGCTCCATCTCGCTCCTCTCCATCCCTTCTCCATCTCTCTCCCCCGCCTTCTATCCCGCCATGTCACCACCATCGATTTGATTCCTCCCCACCTACCTTCAGATTGTATTTCCACTACCCCACCCACATACCTGAGACCATCCTCATTTTGAACATCATTTGACAATAACCCTACCTACTTAAAATCATGATTTTGAAGTAGTATTAGGGGGTATTGATCATCACCTACCCTAACATAGACCGATGATTTCCTCAACTACCCGTACTTTTTATCACCCCACCTTTCAAAATTAACCTGAGACTCAAGTACCCCCACGTATACCGCACTTTGAGCTTGCTACACCTCCATCATAAAGTACCCCCATAACGACATAGTACCCCCTATCCCCTCTTCATAGTAGTGGTAAAAGAAGGGGTACTCGATATTTTTGGAGACCCACCCATCCCTTTTCCCATAGAAGGTCTTGGAATAGCGCCTTTTGAACAAGAGGGTCCATCTTGATTAGGGGTACCACCCCCTTGGCGATGGTAGGGTACTTTGCATGTAATAATGAGGGTCATAATTGGACGGATAGGGTCTGGATTACCTCATCACCCGAGGGGTGGATTCAGCTGGGCCCGGAGGGACTCAAGAAGAACTTAATCAGCCGGTAGTCACTGAGCCTTCGGGCCCGGGTCGCACTGCCCCCGGGACTCAGACCGGGCCATTCATCCGGGACATGATCCGATGATCTGATGATCAGTCACAGCCGGCCGGGCCCCCGGCAAGCCTTCAATGGCAGCTGGGGCGCCCCACTGAGCCGGGCCCGGGTAGCGGTGTTTACTCTGACAACAAGTTAACGCCGCCGGTAGGCCGCGGGCCGCCAGGCCCGGCTGTGCCGGACTCTTCTTTACTCCGACTCAAAGTTAAGTTAAAAATCAGTACGAGGACAATCAGGACCGTCACTGCAGTGAGCCTCGGAGCCGCAGACTCGGCCGGGCGGCGACTCGGAACTTTCGAAGCCTGTGACCTGAAAGTTTGCGTTTGAAAACTTTGAAAGTTTGCAAAGTTTCGCCGCTAATAGATATGGCAGATTGCGCGAATTCGTAGAAGATGAGTAGAGACAGAGACAGAGACAGAGACAGAGACAGAGACAGAGACAGAGACAGAGACAGAGACAGAGACAGAGACAGAGACAGAGACAGAGAGTGAGACGGAGACCAGCACACATTTACAGGCAGAAGCAGAAAGAGAGAAGATTGATTCGCTCTGTCTGCTCAGTACGCGATGCTTCAAGGAGAGCTTCAATCGGTTGCCTTCTTCACCCGTATGGTGTTATGCCCCAACCCTCATGTCAGTGTCAGGCAAAGGGGAGCGAGACGCTGAGCATGGCGTCGGAGGTGGATCACTTTCAGAGGATCCTCGACTTGGAGCAGGAGCTGAGAGAGGTGGGTGCTCGCTTGCTGAGCAGAAGCCGCGCCATTGATCCCTCTGTCTTGCAGCTTGAGGATGAACGAGAGAAGGAAGTCAGCAGCCTGTACGGCGGGCCGTCGGTCAATCACTTCTCCTCCTTCGTCCAGGTGCGCGAAGAAACGAATGCAGGGAGGCTGAGGGTACAGGCAGGAGCTAGAGGACACGGAGTCCGATGAGGAGGGAGGTGTCAAGTACTTTGCTAGGAAACAGGCGACAAGACAGCCGACCAGCAGCGACGAGAAAGCGAGTCGGAGCCATGCCGAGCAGCCGAAGAACGTGAAGTTTGAGATGGAAACGTTTGCCTGGGACAGGCAGCACAGCTCCGTGTCGTCCTACGAGCGTTATCTTGAGATGAGGAGGAAGGCTGAAGCTTCCGCTCTGATCCGATCGAGGAGAGAGGCGGCTGTTGTTGAGGAGGAGGAGCGGAGGAAACCTGTTCAACGCTGGTCTCGCCGGCGCGAAGTTACGAGCACTGCTGGGTTGCAAGGAACGGACGAGGTGATTCGAGGTCGAAACAGGGAGAGTGAGGATGCGGACTGCGACGATGCCTCGAGACTCAGTAACGGAGCTGAAGGATCTCTCAGCAGTCGCTCGAGGGAGGAGGACGAGGAGGAGGAAAGAATAAGGGGTGTGGTTGGTGCGAACGATCTCGTCAATGATGTGGGGAGGTATGGCAAGAGGCGGCCAGCACGATCGGAGGAGGGAGAGGCTCCGAAGGTAGGTGCTGACTTGCTTCAGTTTCTGATCTTGTCCTGCCTGCCGATGTCGAGCTGATGTCGATGTGAAAAGGTGGAGACTGCAGCAATGAGGGCAAACGGACGAGATTGGAATGTCAAGATGAGCTTGCAAGGGTTGAAAGGACGAGCAGACACGGTGAAGAGAAACGCGTGCTCGCTGGTTGAGCTGATCCCCATGGAGCAGAGCCGGAGAGCACCAGCAGGAAGAGGATCGTCGGCAGCTTGCCTTCTGGAGGATGATGACATGGACGCTCCCGCGATATGGAACATGAGGAAGGAGGCGAAGGTAGGAGGAGGAGGAGGAGGAGGAGGAGGAGGAGGAGGGAGGAGGAGGAGGAGGAGGAGGAGGGAGGAGGAGGAGGGAGGAGGAAGAGGAGGAGGAGGAGGGAGGAGGGAGGAGGAGGGAGGAGGAGGAGGAGGAGGAGGAGAGGGGCAGGGGGAACTTCAATGAAGTTGCTGCTCGATAGGTGCCCCGGCCGACTGATTGGCAAGGAGAGCGAGGTCAGGACAAGGATAAAGAGAGGCTGTCCCATGGGTAAGCTAGAGGCGCTGCTCCTGCTCCTGCTCCTGCTCCTGCTCCTGCTCCTGCTCCTGCTCCTGCTCCTGCTCCCGCTCCCGCTCCCGCTCCCGCTCCCGCTCCCGCTCCCGCTCCCGCTCCTGCTCCTGCTCCTGCTCCTGCTCCTGCTCCTGCTCCCGCTCCCGCTCCCGCTCCCGCTCCCGCTCCCGCTCCCGCTCCTGCTCCTGCTCCTGCAATCTGATTAATTCTGCTCGTTCCCTTTACTCCTTCTCATCGCCCGCTCACAGAGTGAGAGTTAAGATCTTTGGATTGAAGAAGAATCTCGACTTCAACGGATGGTGAAATCGCTTCTCCCTTCACTCCTCCCTCCCTCCCTTGCTACTCTCTCTTCTCGCTCTGCTCCTCCTCCACTTTCATCTGTCCTCTTCATATCTCCCTGTACTTACCACTGTACCATCTGCTCCCTCTTTCCCTGTTCTCCTCCTCTTCCGCGCGCTCATCTCATTCCAGCACTGGAGTGGTGAAGGCGTTCGATGAAGAATCCTCGTGCTATCAGGTCATCAGCCGAGGATGGAGAGGAGGAGGAGGAGGAGGAGGAGGAGGAGGAGGAGGAATGACGGGGGGGGGGGGGGGAGTTTGGGAAGAGGATGACGGAAGAGGATAAACTTGTGCTAGGTGTTGGTAGAGAAAGATCACTCGCTTGGATGGATTGGTCGAGATCATCTGAAGCTGGAGGGAGAGGAAGAGGAGAAACAACTGCCTTCCTCGTCGTAAACTCCTTCGAGTGGTCAACTCCTCGAGTAATTAATGTTCGCTAGACGACGAGGAGAAGAAGAGAAGAACAAGCAGCAGCAGCAGCAGCAGCAGCAAGCTGAGGTCTGTTGAAGCTGAGACGTCTTGGTCACCCCCCATCCATTGCCCTTCCCTCCCTCCTCTCCCCCACGTATCTTCTGACCTTCTTCCTCCCGGCACAGTCCACAGCCAACAGGTCCAGCTCCTTCAAAACTATTTTCTCATCGGCCAAGACTGGTAGCGTTCTCCTCCTCCCTCCCAACCCCTCCTCCTCCCTCCCACCTCCTTCCTCGTGCTCCCTCCCCTCCCCACCCCAACAGATCATCATCACCACCACCCCATCTCTCCTGACTGTTTCCTCCTCGTCTCCTCCTTTACTTCTCTGCTGCAGGTATCAAGCACATATTTGGGTGTACTGGGCCCAGGAAGCAGAAATCTCAACCTCCTCCTCCTCCATCCCATTCCCTCGCCACAAGGTCTCTTCCTTCCTGCCTCTCCTCCCTAGCTCTACTGCTCCATTCCTCCTCTCCCCCTCCTCCTTTTCACTTCTCCTTATACTGCTGCAGCCACGAGCACCTCTCCTCGGAGAGCCGACCAGCTCAGGCTGAGACTTCTAGCCATGCAGTACGACGTCCTGCCGCCCCTCCTGCTCCTGCTGTGACAGAGCAAGGTCCGTTACCTTTCCTCCTCCCTCCGCCCCTCTACTCTTTCCTCTCCTTCTTCTCCCCCCGTTTCTACCTTCTCCTCCTTCCCTACCCTCTCCTGTTTGCTCCTCCCTACCTTTCCCTTCTTCTTCCTACCTCCCCCTCATCGTTCCTGCCTCCTCCCTCTCCCTACCTCCCCCTCTTCCCTACTTCTCCTACTTCCTTCTCTCTCCCTCTTCCTTCCCCTGGCCTCACATTCTCCATGCAGACTTAGAGGATCAGAGAGGAGGAGAGGAGGGAGGAGGAGCAAGTCTCTCTCTCTGCTTCCTCTCACTCTGGTAGAGTGACTCGAGGGCCTGGAGGGAGGAAACGATGGACGAGGAGCTGCGGGGGCAAAGGTCGACCTCCTTCATCCCAGCAGCAGATTCGACGCCAACAAGGAGGCAGCAGCGTGGAAGGCACTAGAAGGGAGGGAGGAGATGCTGGGGAGCAAAAGAGCGAGGACGAGGACGAGATGAGAGCGATCTTTCCGCTGAAGGAGGAGGAGGTCGACGCGTTGTCCGAGATCCTCCCGGCAATAGGAAAGAAGGTCTACTCCCTTCTCTCCCTCCCTCCTGCAAGTGAAGGAGCATCGCAGGCCTCGCTTTCGCTCATCATCCTCCGAAACAGCGAGGTCATCACCATCCTCCTCCTTTCATTACCTCAACCCCCCACCCCCACCCCTCTCCTCCTCCTCCTCTCTTAGTCTGCTCCACGCTCCTTGTTTTGGTTCCACCTGTGCTGCTTGCCGCGCACACAGCTGGCCGCTACATCCATCGTGCCTCCTCCTCCTCCCTCTCAAACTCTCCTCCATTTTGCAGGTTCATCTTATCGGAACTCCCGACTCTGTGCAGTTTGCCCATGTGAGAAAGAGGGAGGGGAAGAGGGAGCGGGAGGAGGAGGAGGAGGAGAGTGTGGGAGGAGAGGAGCTGATGTGTTGACAGGATCTCTTGGAGAGTTTGACCAACACAAGGAGCAGCGAAATCGACTTATGAGCCATGGCTGCAGCTACTTGTGAACGTCGCTCTCTTTCTTAAAACATCCCCTCCATCTTTCCTCCTCCTCCTCCTCCTCCTCCTCCTCCTCCTTCAATTCCGGTTCCTGCCTCAAGCACGTCACTCCCCGCACGGTTGCCTCAGGGCCTCTTACGCGTTCGCGTTGGCTGCGATCCGCCGCATGTGATCCTCGTGGAAGCGCATGTACGCCCTATACATGATGTGCGACTTCCGCAGCCTCGACTGCGATTGGTCAGCTGAGAGCTCGGGGGCAGCTGGGGATCAGCTGACCTCGCGCTCTAGGAGGTGGAGGATGTCTCGCAGCTCGATCCTCCTCACCGCGTTGGACACGCTCGTGCCTCCTCCCGCTGACCCTCCAGCCCTTCCGACTGGCAAACACACTCAACAATGAGCCGGCATGCTCGTCCAGCTACCGGCCAGGAGAGCTGTCTGGTTGGCCAGGCTGTGAAAGTTCTGATCCTTCTTGCTCTGCTCGTGGTCAGCCGCGCGCCTTGCATGCAACAAGTTCACCTGCTCCTGCTTCTTCGACTCCTCTTGCATCTCAAGTTGCTTCAGCAACTGCCTGAAGCACCATCACGTCAGCGCTCAGCCGGCAACGACGTCCATCGATGTCGCGATACTTCGCTTGTTCCTTGACGTCCTGCTCGCGCACCATCCCTGTGAGATTCGCCTTGTTGTTTCTCAGCTGTAGAACGATCAAAAGGCGGTTGACGAGAGCGACAGGCCCAGCTCAAGTCCACCTGATCGAATCGATTCCTCGAGATGGACATGAGGTGGCTCAGGACCTGACACCCTGTCATGTATCCCCCTTCCTCAGCTCAGCTCGCACGTGTTTGACTCGCTGCTCGCAGGCATATCGCATACAGTAGTATGCTTGCTGTTCGATGGACTCCAACAGCACAACCCCAGCTGCAGTACATGAGAGGTGGCAGGCAAGCGCAGGGTTCACCTTTCTTGAACTGATGATCGGTAGCCTTATGGGGAAAGGACGATTGACAGACCTCACACCTTGAAACATTTCAGGACATGCCGACGTCAGAGCAGGAGATGACTTGGTCTTCTTGCTGGACAGATCGTCTTCCTGCTGCTTCTTCCTCGCTTTGAAAATCTGGCAGCTGGTCAGACCCTTCGCACCATCCTTTCCTCTTCGACCTGCTGCATCTTCGCATGCAACTGCAGGACGAGGGTCAGCGACTGAGGGTCAAGGGTCTCAGGGGAGCTACCTGGTCCTTGTAGATCGTGTTGCTGTCGTGAGGCTGTGCGGTCATCCCGTCAGGTTTCACGCGCTTCACTTGCATCGGATCCTCGTAGTCCCCATCTCTGGTCCGCTTGCCCAACACGTCCATCTGTCCTGTCAGCCCCATATGGCTCGTCGAGCTGCTGGGAAGCGGCATGGGGGCGGGAGACGACGCGCTGCCAGGAGAGCTGCCGGTGCCATACTCCTGCCCCGGCTTGCGGTTGGAATCTGAGATCGGCTTCGCCTTCGAGCACGTGTGCCTGCAGTGCGTTAGAGGAGCTTACACATCCGCTCCTATCGATGCATCACTTGACGTGTTTTCCCTTGCAAGCTTTACAGTCTGTGCTCTTCACCGTCGCCGTTCCCTGGTTTGACCTTGTCAGACCTGACGAGTGCACGTGCTGCCGCCTACCGGCTTTTGGATGCCGACAGTCGACATCAAGCCGATGGCGGTCGAGTCATACGAGGAGCTCAACGAAGTTGACGGGCTGGTCGTGTTGTAGCTCACTGGCATAGTCCGAGCAACCCCACCAGGTGCAGCAGGCAGAGCCCCAGGAGCCACACTGCCACTGCCAGGCACTGGAGTTTGAGTGACTGGCACAGCTCCTCGATTTACACTTGGCATGTTCGAGGCGGAGGTGTAGGAGGATGGAGCACCTGGTGGGCAAACAAGAATATCAGGTTGACGTCGTCGAGTCTGACTGCTTACTGGCTCCTTGATTCGCTCCGCTCGGATTTTGCATCGGAAGTGAACCTGACGAAGTCTGAGGCAACGACCCTCGCATAGTTCCCTGCTGCACCCCACCCTGGGGTACAGAGCTTCTCTGTATAACCCCCTGCTGCAAGCTCCCCTGCTGTATACCCCCTTGTTGTACAACCCCCTGCTGTATCCCTCCCTGGGGTACAGAGCTTCTCTGTATAACCCCCTGCTGCAAGCTCCCCTGCTGTATACCCCCTTGTTGTACAACCCCCTGCTGTATCCCTCCCTGGGGTACAGAGCTTCTCTGCATCCCTCCTTGCTGCACATTTCCCTGCTGCCCCCCCCCTTGCGGTACAGAGCTTCGATGCATGTTTCCCGGCTGCATGGCCCCTGGTTGCATGGTCCCTGGCTGTACGGAGCTTCGTTGCTGGGCGGTACTTTGCTGTTGTAGCCCCGTGCTATTGGAGCCATAAGGTGTCGGCACCTGCTGGCTGGGGACGGGCTGCTGAAAGCGATGGATGGAGTCGCTTCTCGTCGAGCTTGAGAGCAAGTCAACGTAATGATGCAGAGACGAGCTTGAAGATACAACCTGCCAGGGAGAGCAGCGCTGCCTTGATGGCTCGCATGAGTTGAGCCGTAGGTCGCTGAACCATGATGCGATGCTTGGTTGGACATTGGGACCTGACAACATGTGAGATGCTCTCGAATAGCAGCAACTGTCAGATCGTATCATTTACCTGATTGCTGGGCGCACTTGGGTTGGAAGCATTTCCTACAAGCTCTGTCAAAGGATCATGTCACGATTCGGATGGATGTACCCGTTCCCGATTGAGAAACTCGAGCTTGTCTCGAGACGCCATATTTGACCCTGACTGATTCTACGTCGGGGGCCATGTGCATTGCATATCGCTCAACGTACTGGTCCGCCAATTGCAAGTACTGTGGCATGGCAGAGGAATCAATGAACCCCATCAGAACATCAACCAGTCACTACCTGTTGTATGTCAGTCTTCCCCCCTGTCAGGACTTCTCTCTTGAAGAGCTGCGCTTGTTGTGGGTTGACCTTCTCTATCTCCTGAAAGATTTTCTTGCATAGCGCCCCGATGACCTGTCCGCGCCCGTCATCACCCTCTTGCCGCTAGATGGAGCAACTCTCGCAGTCCAGCTTGCTCACCTCCTTGACCTTGAGTTGAGGCTTTGGCTGTGTCGGATCCATTCCGACTGCCTGCCTGTCAAATCATCCCAATGAGCGTGAGCAAATCCAACTAACAAATATAAAAAGAACAAAGACACTGGTTGACAGCAAAAGTTACCAGAAGAAACTAGGTCATCGTTTAAAAAACAATCCTCACATAAGATTTTGAGATATCTTTCTGAAAATCAACTCTCTCGATACCTAGCGTCATGATATTGTCACTGATCCTGCATCAATCAATCTTCTATATTCTAGCATTCATGGATCAGGCTGATTCACTCTAATCACACAGCTGTCTTGTAGCCTTGCTCCTGATAGCTTGACGAATTTTGAAGCCAGATCTCCGTCGAGTGCTACAGAGGGTTGAAGCCTTCTCTCTCTGCTCGCAACTGCCACTCACTTATCACTGCCCTCTGACCTTCGTCTTACCGTCCCTCCTTCCTCCTTACTCCTCCCTCCTCCTTCCTCCCTCCTCCCTCCTCTCAGCATCGCTCAAAGCTGTGCGTAGCTTTTGCAAATGCCTCACAATTTCAAATTTCAGGATGAATTTCTAGCAGTCCTAAAATTTTTTCAAAACTGAATGACATTTGCCTGAATGACCAAGCCGGCCGGCAGGCCGGCCGGGCCGAACCCGGATACACGAGGGGATGTGGGCATCGTGTTGACATGGCATGGCGGTGGCTGTGATGGCGGAAGTCATGGGTCGGGTAGAGCAACAGGGATACAGACAGGCAAGCAGGGAGTGAGTAAGACAAGAAGAAAGACAGGCAAGGATTGATGAAGACATAAGTTGAAAGATCTGAGAGCATGCGGAGAGAATCGAGAAGGATGTTGTGGGATTGTTACTAGTGCGATTGCTTCCACAAGAAATGGACGTTAGGATTCATCGACCCATCGACTATACGAGGAGAATTCAGGAGACTTATGCCAGGGTTTGAAATGTGGAAGAGGATGGGGAAGCAGCATACGGCCGTAGGCTTGCGCAGCTGATTAATGCTATTTCCCAGTTCACAATGTCGCGAGGTTTTGCAAAGTACGTCAAGTTAAAGTATCCTCCTACGGCGTCTGCAGTCCTATCAGACAAACTGTTCGCTGTGGGTGGGGGTGGGGGCAAGTCGAAATCAGGGATTCCAAACCGGGTAATCTTGACATCTTCTAGAAACAACACATCCCAGGTGTAGAATCGTTAATCATTGTCGTTAGATTTCGTTGCTTTGCCTGGATCAGGACGAGCTTAAGGTGAAGGTACCTTATGTTTCGATTATCTGAAACTTTTGCAAAGGAAATAGCGCATCTAGACTTTGACGATGATCGAGTGGTGGGACTGTGCGCCTCCCCTAAAGGAAAGGTTATCTTGTGTACAACCCACGGAGGAAAAACTCATGCAGTGGGCTACAACGATAAGGTGAGATAGAGAATAGTCCAGGGCTCTCCAACGAACCCTCCTTACCGCGTCGTCCGTGATCAGGAACTGAAGTTGATGTTTTCCATGGCTACCGGCAAGGTAGGCTCGTGTGTGGGGCTAGCGTCAGTTTTGAACAAGGAGTAGGCTGATCCTAGTGGAGACTATCCGTCGCAACGGGCTGTGGCATTCAACCCGGCAGGCACTCAGGTTGTGCGATAAAAGAGCACTCCCTCTGTCGGTTGACTGCCTTTCCAGGTTGTTATCTCCCACGGAGAAAAGCTGGGCATGTGGGATTTCTCGACATCAGGATTGAAGTTGATAAGGTGTAATTTACCCTGTGTTCACTGCGTGACTGTGACTGGGGTGGTCCAGAGATTTTGGAGTGAACGCTGACGGCAAGAGCTGGCATGCAGAGGCGATCCGTGACGTTTGCTTCCACCCAGATGTCCTCGCATGCCTTTACGCAAGTTCTTGATGTGTGGTAATTTTCCTGTACAGGGAAAGAGAATTCTTAGTCATGATGATTCAACCTGCTGCATTTGGGATGCGAAGACTGGGAAGCTGCTGTTTGAACACTTATCGGGTGCTCGACATCCCAGGAATCAAGTTTGCTGAACAACCTCTTCAGAGAAAAGTTCGAATGTCGGGAAAGGAGCGCAGAAGTTCAGGTGACCTCAAGTTCTCGATTAAGGAAGACAGGGTCACTGAACATTGCTGTGGTGCAATTTCTGGGTATTCTTGTGTACAATCCCACGCTGTAGAGGTGCTGTATTTACAGAGGACGGGAACAAGATCATTACCGCGCTGTCTACACGAGATGCTGGGTCTGCATTCGAAATGGGTGTATGACCAGCTCCTGACGATGAGGGTCAAGGTTTATCCAGGAGCACAAGGTTGATAAGGATCTGCCCATCGTGAGGCAAAAGAAGGCAAGAGCGATGATGGACTTGTTGGCCGTCAGCAAGTAATTCTGATCCTTCAGATTGTCACATGTCCGATTACGACGATCAGTGGCCTCGACAAGATGATCGCGTTTGTGGGATGCAGCGATGGACGGGTCCGTGTCGCTTCCGCGCTTTGTTGCGCTCATGATCTCACTGCAGGTTGCCATGTTGAACTGTGCGAACATTGGGATTCAATGTTGTCTGGACATACACAGCATGCCAATAACCAAGGTGACGGGTGGCACAAGTGAATGGACTGTTTTCGTGACTCTAAACGCCCATCATTGTCAACAGGTGCATGCACTGAAGTCACATAATTGTTTCTCCATCGCTTTCGACAATTTTTGCGGGCATGGACTAATGCAGGTTGGTCGATGGGCAGAATTGATTTGGCGAATCCACTCATCAAGCACTTGACAGGCAAAGATCCACAAGCAGCGAAGGCAATTTGCAATGTTCTTGATCTTCGCCTTTCTGTTTTTGTTATCCGCCACAGTTTTCTTAGCTGGAGGCGACTTCATTCGCAAGCTCCAAGGCACCGCGACTGTAAGCTAACTCGCCGTACTTTTCCATCTGAGTCAGGCTAATGACAACAAAAGTCGCAACTTGAACTTCAACGTGCCGCCCCCTTCAGTACCACTATACTTCAGGGGGCGCCATTCAATCATCATTTGTGAACCCGGGGCGGGCGGGCCCGGCGGCCGCGGCGTCCGAGTGACTCTGCCCGGGCCCGTCCGACTCGGTCCCAGTCACTGCCTTAAGAGTTAACTGCCGCTGCGCGTAGGACCATTCCAGTCCCCCTCCCCGCTGTCTGAGGCACTGTACGGTATGATATTTACTGTATCGTCGATCACTGCACACTGCGACGGAGCACAAGTTTGTTTGACTTGTACTACGCCAAAGTAATGCAGACATCATATCGACCTCAGCTGCCGCAGTGCAACAAGCCTGTGACTCGTGACAGTTTTTGCGGCTCAACCAGACTGTATCATCGGCTAGGATGTGAAAACCAAGCATCCAGGCATGAGAGAACCTTAGCACGACGGCTAGGAAGGCCTCCTCAGGCTTCCTTGAAGGCTTCCGACCGTCCGACCGTCGACGGCCTCGGACGGTCAGCGGGCCGGCCGCCGCTTACCGTACTTTCAAGTTTGGCATAGTAGTACAATCTAACAAACTTGTGCTCCGTCACACTGACCAGACGGTTGAAAATGATACTGAGGGCCCGGACTGCCGGGGGCCCTGATCGGACTCCGACTCAGAGTCAGTACTCGAGACGGTACTTGAATCGGAATCATCGATGACGACGTTACAATGACGGTTATATTTGAACGAGCGGTTACTCATTGCGCCCATCCAACGGATGAGAAGGAGGCGAACAGATGAGGAAGAGTTCTTCAAATGTACATTTTATAAATAACCCACCATATCCAGATCTATGCTTCTCTGAGGGTAATGTGAGGGTACATTAGATTTTATTTTCTTTCGTGGGGGAGTCGTTCTGTCATGCAGAAAGTATTGAATGGTGCTTGGTCAGATGATGATTGGACAGCAGGATGGTAGAGGGAGAGAGGAGAGAGGAGAGAGGGAGTAGAGGAGCGAAGTGCAGGAGAAGACATGGTCGAGCGAAGTGCTTGGTCAACAGACCATTGAGCGATAGTCGGGTGAGGTATGAAACGCTGCACATTTTAGGACAACTGTGGTGCTTGAATTCTCTCATGCCAACGTGGATTGACAAAGATAAAGAGAATGAGTTGTAGTGTTCAAGAAACAACGAGTCTTGGAAGCATAATGCAGATTGGTCCTAAACGATTCTCAATGTTGATGTATGTTGGAGGTTATGCACCTTTGAGTTGTTATCCTCATGCACAAGACTGACGTTTTCCGAATGGAAGTATGCGGTGCCGTATCGTCGTGACTGACTTCTCTGAGCAGACATGGACTGTCAAGAAAGCTTCAAATGGAACAAGGAGAACAGAGCCGAAACAATACAGTGAAGAGGTACCAGACAAGATTGAACCCCCCGAAGCAAGCATGAATGTGCTCAGAGCTGCGATCGAGTACAATGCAGTAACCATTGATGAGGCCTTCGACCAGCTCGACTTCGACGAAGATGGTGAGATCTCTCTCGACGACCTTGGAAAGGCTGCTAAGCAGCTTTCGCTGGGGCTTGGGGCAAGTCAAATCGAAGATCTGTACAGGAGGATGAAGGGGGACAAGGGATATGTAGACCTTGAGGCGTGGCGAGCAGCCCTAGGAAGCCGAGATACCAGCGAGGTGCTACAATCACGGGGCATATCGAAAGCCTCTGCCAGCGCGGAGGAAACATCAGATGGGACTGAAACGGACCGGGCGCTGGACATGCTTGCTGCTGCGATCGAGTACAACGAGCTTAGGATAGATGAGGCCTTCGACCAGCTCGACTTCGACGAAGATGGTGAGATCTCTCTCGACGACCTTGGAAAGGCTGCTAAGCAGCTTTCGCTGGGGCTTGGGGCAAGTCAAATCGAAGATCTGTACAGGAGGATGAAGGGGGACAAGGGATATGTAGACCTTGAGGCGTGGCGAGCGGCCCTAGGAAGCCGAGATACCAGCGAGGTGCTACAATCACGGGGCATATCGAAAGCCTCTGCCAGCCCGGAGGAAACATCAGATGGGACTGAAACGGACCGGGCGCTGGACATGCTTGCTGCTGCGATCGAGTACAACGAGCTTAGGATAGATGAGGCCTTCGACCAGCTCGACTTCGACGAAGATGGTGAGATCTCTCTCGACGACCTTGGAAAGGCTGCTAAGCAGCTTTCGCTGGGGCTTGGGGCAAGTCAAATCGAAGATCTGTACAGGAGGATGAAGGGGGACAAGGGATATGTAGACCTTGAGGTGTGGCGAGCGGCCCTAGGAAGCCGAGATACCAGCGAGGTGCTACAATCACGGGGCATATCGAAAGCCTCTGCCAGCCCGGAGGAAACATCAGATGGGACTGAAACGGACCGGGCGCTGGACATGCTTGCTGCTGCAATCGAGTACAACGAGCTTAGGATAGATGAGGCCTTCGACCAGCTCGACTTCGACGAAGATGGTGAGATCTCTCTCGACGACCTTGGAAAGGCTGCTAAGCAGCTTTCGCTGGGGCTTGGGGCAAGTCAAATCGAAGATCTGTACAGGAGGATGAAGGGGGACAAGGGATATGTAGACCTTAAGGCGTGGCGGGAAGTTTTGGGTCGGAGAGATACTAAGCAGATTCTTCAGTCGCTGGGAGTAGATGCCAAAACATCTCCATCTGATAAGTACTGTCTTCCGCGTGGTGATTATTTTGTGTTTTTGTTTCTTGTAGTTGACTGTTTGGCCATTCAGATTTGAGAAAAGTTTCAGATACAATTGCTGCTGTGCTTTTATTTAATGAACTTGGGACTGTGGATGGATTCGAAGCATTTGACCTTGACCAGGACGGGATCATCAGTTTACAGGACTTCAAAGTTGGGGCACAGCAACTTCAGCTTGGTTTAGCTGATTCGGATCTTGAAAGTTGGTTTTCCTGTGCTTCTACAAACAATCCCAATGGAATCATAATTGAAACTTGGAATTTGCTATTGGATGATGCAAACGCAGAAGAAGTATTGCGTTCCCATGGAGTTGAGGTCGCAGAAACTCCAGCATATCTTTCTGAAGGCACAAGTTCTGTAAAAAAGCAGGGATCAGCTCCAAAGATGTCTGGATCCGACCTGGCTCAAGTCTCAAATGCGCTGGCTGCAGTTTTAAAATATAATCACTTTGAAATCGAGGAAGGCTTTAGAGAATTTGACTGTGATGGTGATGGCAGACTTTCGCAACATGACTTCTTGGAATCTGTTGAGCACTTGAATCTTAGAATGCCTTCAGCAACATTACTGAAATGGTTTCATGAGTTATGCGGAAACGGGGACGCCATTTCAAAGGATGTGTGGATCCTGGCTTTGAAAAATGCTGATGCCCAACAGGTATTAGATTCAAGAAAGGAAGGGACGACGAACTCAAATGCAAGAGAAATTTCAACGCAACAAAGCCCGAAAAAAAAATCACAATTTTCCTCTACCAAATTTCTAGAACCATCTATCTATGATTATCTGAATGGTGTCTTACAATTATCTTCTCTCACTGCTGATCAATTTTACGATTGCTTCAGCAAGGATGATCATCACGGGAAGGTAGATATTAACGACTTGTTCGATGTCTTTGCTGTCTTGCAACCAAACCTTTCAAAGGAAAGACTTCGTCTGCTATTGGGTTTGCCAGAACATCAAGATTTCGTCGACAAGTTGAAATGGAATATGTTTTCAAAGCAATCAGAGCTCTCAAAAGACTTGTTCTTCTCCCAATCACAGTGGTCTCTGTTGAACCGCACTGATTTACAGGCAATCAAAACTATAGGGAGCTACATTCTGTTTGCAATTGAATCGTCCACAGGGGAACTAGAAGATTCTCACAAAATTTACGATGTGGACAAAGATGGCATAATATCGAAGGAGGATTTGCTGAAATCTTTAAGCAATCATCAAGAAAAATTTAGAGAATCCGATATATCCACATTTCATTCATGTTGCTGCGAAGCAGAAAATAGTGGCCGAAGCCGTGTGTTATGGCTCTATTGGCTAAGAGTCATTCAGGCATCACGAAGAATACCCATGATGGCATTAGCAAAACAGTCACAGAGCATCAATCAACAATCAGAAACTTCCAGTGTAATAGAGACACAAACGAATCGCTGTGTTGTTGTGACATTCAACATCCATTTTAATGAAATTGAAGACATCCAGGCTTTCAAGACAGCTTTGGTTCGGCAAATAGCAGCTGCAGCTTCATGCAAGAATGAGGACCTCTTTATCAAATGCATAGTCAAAAAGCAGAAAATCAAAGTGTATTTAAATTATGTCGGATCAGAGAATATTCCTGTGGATGAGATTTTGAACCGTTTACAGCTCAAGGAATTCCATTTCGATGATGGTCTGAAGCAGGAGAATTCAGGAATCAACCAAGCTGACATTGTGATTGAGAATGTCAAATCTGAATCTTTCAATGAAGAGCTAAATCTGGAAGACCTGCAAGAACTTTTTCATCGAAAGGATGAAGATATATGCTTGCTGAAAGCAATGCTTCATATTGAACAAACAGCTATCTCGCAAGCCGAAGAATCTGTATCTTCACTTACTAAGAGTTTAGAATCTTTAAAGGCGGAGGTGGACCGTCTCCAAAATTTCATGAAGTCCTCTTTCAAGAAGATGGATTCGTTTGTCTCATCATCCATGGCCTACAGGGAGAAACTGCTTTCAGAATTCGATTTGTATGTTTGCAAAATTCATCCTAAATCTGATAGTTTGAAAGCTGAAATTCGTCGGCTTCGAGAGGACGCTGAGCAATTCACCGAGCATGCGCGCAAGAAGGATGTGGACTATTTCGAGTATTTTGCAGAACAAGAAAGAATTTTTTCTCGGCGAATCCTCATGCTGGTGCAAGATGCAGCAACTTCTTCCAATCTTCTATCGAGTACTTCGACCGAAGATATTGCTTTGGCCAAGCAGATCGACGGAAGTGGACAGCCATCTGATTCCGCTTCAACAAAGAGGTCTCGGCAGGTCTTGCAACCTCCTCCAACCGCTCATGAGGCTGACCAAATTTTGACGAAGCCATACAAAGTCAATCAAGAGACCCCGAAGCAGAGGACGCTGCTTCCTCCTCCAACGAATCGCTCCATGTATGTCTTAATCAATAGGACAAGCTCCACCGACAAAGTGACGAGGACAAGCTCTTCTAGTTCGAAGAAGCACGAAGCAGAGAATCCTCCATCTGCGAATGGCAGTATGATAGAAGGCACAACTAATAATGCAGATGAATCAGCACAACATCTTGGCGCAAATCTACCTCAGATAGAGTTGCAAGCATCCGGCAATAAGGTTGAGCGCAAATTTCAAGAAAAGAATCAATTTTTCGATTCGTTATATTCGAGAATTGTTTGGATGGAAACTCAGAAACAGTCTTCTTCAAAGCTTGTGGGAAGCCAATTACTCCCTCTGCTTGCGGAATGTTTCGAATTGTGCAAAGTTTTTCTCAACTCGTTCAATTACCAAGAAGGGCATATATTAGAATTTGTGCATGATATGAATGACGTTGCCCAAAAGCTTCACCTTTTAACTCTCCTCATGAATGCAACTTTGATGTATGGCAGGAAGGATTCTCTATCAAGGTTTTTCAAAGAGATCGAATCCTTGGCAACAGACTTCAATCATTTCGCATTTTCAGTCACGACTGCCGAGCTTGTTTATTCGCTTGACCAGGTCAGAGTGTTCAAAGAGGAAAATGCAGATTTACAACGAGATCTTGCGATAATTAGGGAGAAGAATTTTTTTTCGGAAGCGAAGCATGAAGAGCTGACTGCGCAGCATGCATTCATCAGTTGTGTGGTCATGGACATTGACAATGGAATCAGATCTTCAATCAACCTAGTCGAAGAGATCGAAAAACATATACAACATAGCAATCCGCCAAAAATGCTGGTAGACAACAAAATTCCATTTGAACAAACAAAAGTTAAGGTCTTGGAAGACGATATTGTGAATACTGTCACCAATCCAGAAATTCCCTCAGTCCTTTCTCGTCTGATCGACATGGAAATAAGTCGCCTGGACAAGTCTCGATCCTCTTTGTCTTTTAACATGCATGGACTCGTTTACAGCATCTTGAATCAGATTAACATCGCGCTGGATTACAACCATCTGAACTTGAATTCCGGCTTTCTAGCGTTCGACAAAGATTCAGATAGTAGAATATCATTGAAAGATCTTACTACATCTATGAATGAGCTTCAGATCCATTGTTTAGACAGTGACATTTCTATTCTCATGACTTTCATGGACAAAGACAAGGATGGCTACATAAGCTTTGATGAATGGAGGTCAGCGCTACATACAGTTTACTGCTTGCCAAACATGTATGAATTCTTTCAAAGGGAAGAAAACAAGGATTCAGACACTCTTCTCCTATTCTATAAGTTCAAAAGCGAGGTAGAAAGTTGGTTGAATACGATCGAACTTTCAAAACCGCAGACATGTCGGGAATTTGGTGGAGAGAAAGTTATTCAAGAGAATAATCAATCAACCATCGTACATGATGGATTTACCCAAAAACAAATCGAAGAGGAGAAATTTGTCAAAGATCAGATGTTCAAACTTTCTCGAAGATTCGACTTGCAAACTGAAATAGACCGTGTCACTATGGAGGATGTTGCTGCATTTTTGCACGCACTCGAAGACCATTTCAATACCAATCAGAACTCTGAAATCAACTCGCACGCGCACTCGCTGATAACGCAGCAGGCAGCGGAGGCAGCAGGGAGGGCAAGGAAGGCTGAGGAGAAGCTCAGGAAGGAGGAGGACATGAGGCGGGCGCTGGAGGTACAGGTGGCAGATGCAGCGAGGAGGGCAAGGGAGGCAGAGGAGGAGCTGAGAGCTGAGAGAGACAAGGTAACAGTCCCTAGCATCACATCGTATGATCATCAGGGTGCGGCGGGAGGGAGGGAGGAGCAAGGTGAAACGAAGGGACAGCTTGCGGAGGCGATGGCAGTGATCAAGGACACAGAAGCGAAGATACTGGACCTCGCGTCGAAGGCAGGATTGGAGGTGAAAACAGGTGGGGAAGGGTTAGTAGGCCTTGAAGGAAAGCTGCTTGAGCTCCGAGGGCAGCTCAAAGCTCATCAAGAGGCCAAGGAGAAAGGAGTGGAGCTAGAGGGGAAGCTCAGGAAGGAGGAGGACATGAGGCGGGCGCTGGAGGTACAGGTGGCAGATGCAGCGAGGAGGGCAAGGGAGGCAGAGGAGAAGCTCAGGAAGGAGGAGGAGAGGAGGCGGGCGCTGGAGGAGCAGGTGGCAGAGGCAGAGGAGAAGCTCAGGAAGGAGGAGGAGACGAAGCGGACGCTGGAGAGGGAGGCAGCGGAGGCAGAGGAGAAGCTCAGGAAGGAGGAGGAGAGGAGGCGGGCGCTGGAGGAGCAGGTGGCAGAGGCAGAGGAGAAGCTCAGGAAGGCGGATGGCAGAAGACGGGCGCTGGAGGTACAGGTGGCAGAGGCAGAGGACAAGCTCAAGAAGGCGGATGGCAGAAGACGGGCGCTGGAGGAGCAGGTGGAAGAGGCAGAGGAGAAGCTCAGGAAGGAGGAGGAGAGGAGGCGGGCGCTGGAGGAGCAGGTGGCAGAGGCAGAGGAGAAGCTCAGGAAGGAGGAGGACAGGGCTAAAACTCTGGAAGAAGAAAAACAATATAACACATCGGCTTACACACATCAGAAAGAGAGCTTTCTTTCCGCAGAATCTGTAAGAAAATTGTGCCATCAATTTTTATTTCTGTGACGTTGCGATGAAGGAAATCCGTCGGCTGTCAGGGGAGCTGCAGTGTCTTGAAGATGTCAAAAGGAAGTTGTCGCTGGATCTGAATGTAGAGAAAGAGGTGAACAGGTTGCTCGTACGAAGAATCTGTTCCTCACCTGCTGCGTTAGAACAACAAGGAGCTTAGCAAGCGGCTGAGCTCCGTCTTGGAAGAATGCTCGCAGTCGCGCGTCCAAGTATCCTCGCTGCATTCACAGTTGCAGGTAAGGCGGAGGGACGAGGAGTCGTAAGAGTTACTTGACGGCTGCCTGATTCATGACTTTCGCAGGCGTTGGAAGAGGCACAGAGTAACAGGCAGGAAGCTTTTGCGCAGGCACCCAGAGAGTCAGAATTGTCGTTGAAGGTTATGGCATTGGTGAAGGCCGGGAAGGTGCTAACTTTGTATGCAGCTCAAGGAGGAGCAAGTCAGAAAGCTCGAGAGGACAGTAAAGGAGAAGGAGCGAAGCTGCGAAGACCTGAGACAACTTCTGTCGGCTAAAGAGCGTGAGGTGGAGAACTTGCGTGAGAATAGGCTGGAGGGAGTCAATTCAGCTCCGGCTCATGGGGAAGTTCAGCAAGAGGTTGTTGCTTGTCCTTGTGGTTCGTTCTCACGACAGGCACGCAGCAGCTTGGCTCCTCTTCCACGCCAAGGAGTCACCTGCAGGTCTTCCTCCTCCCCCCTGTCATCCCAACGTAACCCGACGCTTTCAGATTCGCATCCGCACACTGCTCCGTGAGAACGCCGAGTGTCATGCCCAGATTCGACTTCTAGGCGCCAAAGTCTTCGAGCTCTCGGAGGCTCTCGAGGCGATCGGCAAGGGCAAGCAAGCTGGCAGCGGCATCTCCTCCCTCGAACTGGTTTCGTTTCCTCCTCTTCACCTTGGCCTTCCTCACAAGTTTTTTCAGCGCCCTGCTGGTCGCTGGTTCACCCCGAGTCCCCAGCATCCGACAAAAGCTCTACGGCCTGTCCGATTCCCACCTTCACCAGCTGAGCTCAACCTGGAGCCTGTAGCGGTAAGAGGCGCAAGCCGCTGGAATCGAGCTGACGGTGAGCAGGGGAGGACGAGATGGGCAGAGCCGCACGAGAAAAAGCAGAGAACAGCTGGAGAGGTCGGGCCTGTGGGCTCCATGAGAGAGGCATGGACGAACCGCGAAGAGCGAGGGAATTATTCGAACAGAGGTAGGAGGAGGATAGCTGAAGACTAAGGGACCATTAGGGTTGATCGCATGAATTCATTTAGAGTTAAAGAATGAATAAAACTTGTTTTCTCCTGCCTGTCTTTCAATTCTTTTTGCTGCCGCTCCCTGCTGCCTCATCGTCCGTGCAACTGCTCTTGAACCGTTTCCTCTCCCTCTCAGCCGCATCCCTGTGTATCCAACCGTCAGACCACTTTCCTCCTCCCCTCGCCTACTCACTGCATGATTTCCTCCGACGTCCAGAGGTGTTTCGTCGCCTTGACCCATGTTTCGCGGTTCCTGCTCCCCAATCATCACCTTCATCCCCTGCACGGTAGACGCACCAGATGTCTCGGATAGTCTTGGCGTTCACCATGTACTTCTCTCCTAACTGACTTGACCTGAAAGCACATTTGTAGATAAGCTGAAAGCCATGCTCTGCCTTCCTCCTACCCGAACCCGTAGAGCTCCTTGATCTTCGGTCGTTGCATAAAGATATCCTGTGCCTGATAAATGCCACTCTGTAAGCCTCATACCCTCCCTCCGAACCCCCCCCCGTTGCTCCAGCTGCCTGCCTGCCTGCCTGCCTGCCTGCCTGCCTGCCTGCCTGCCTGCCTGCCTGCCTGCCTCTCTTCCTTCCTCCCTCCCTCCAGCTGCTGCCTGCCTGCCTCCAGCTCCCTCCTTCCCTCTCCCTCATCTTCGTACCTGAGATTCTGTCAAAGCAATCTTCCAAGGTTTGTGCCTGCCCGAGGTTGATCTGTTCAAGGATCAACGACCACACCGATCGGGGGATCGCTGTCTCACCCTTCTTCTACTTTACCCCATCCGCCACCGCTCTTCGCTTGACCATGACGATTCACCTGTATTTCAAGTGAGGCACGAGAGAACAAGATAGAGTGTTGTCTTACGCTGTTTGTGCCCGTTGCAGGCTTTCTATGGCTGCTGGAAGACTTGGAGTACGAGGAGAGTCAGTTGCGTTCTTGAACGAGGCGTTGAGCTTACGTATGCAGATGAAAGCGAAGAGTCTTCTGACTGAGAATCATGAGCATGAGTTTTACAGGAGTACTTGATAGAGGAAACACCTTAGCCTTGCGATCGAGCGATTCCTTGAGAATGTCTGCGAGATCACAATCGCAGTCGTCAGGTGACCACTATCATCAGTTGCAGACATGCAGACCGAGAGAAGTTGTTGACCTCTTGTGAGAGAGTCCGGAACTTTGATCGACAGGAAAGAAAGCAGATCTGTTCGAAGGAGGGCTGTAACTGCTTGCTGCCACGTGATGCTGCTCGAATTCTTCCGAACCTCTGACTTCTTCCAAATATTTTTGAGCGCTCAAATCAATCTGAAGATCCACAGGAGGCCCCACCAATGTACTCGTGTTGACTTGGCTGAGCAACGGAGGCATGTGGGAGGCTCGCTGAGGGATGCTGATCATCTGCCCGCTAGCGTTGAAACCTCGAGGGAAAAGATGGGAGGAGGAGGACGCGAAACTTGACGCTCCCAGCAGCTGCTGCATCCCTAGCATGTCGAGTCTCGGGAAAGCTGCCGATAGAGTTGCTGAGGGGAAGCCCAAGTGAGGAGGGGAAACGAAGAAACCAGATCCTCACCTGGCTGGTGACAAACCGGTAGAGTATTGTGAGGAAGAAACAAGTTCGATCCGTAATTCGTCGCCAAAGGAGCGAAGAAAGGAGTCAGCATAATGCCGGAAGTCTCCTGATTGAGAGATTGAGGGACTGGCTGACCAATGGGCAACACGAAGGAGTCCAACGGGTTGCTGGTGGAATTCAAGTTCTGGTCCATTTCAAGTGATGAAATGGAATCCGGCAATCTCTTCCCGTAGTCGCATGAACTGACAGTAGGCTCGCTATTCTGTCATCTCGTTCACCTCAAGTCTTTTCGGAGTGCTCAAGCTCTTACTATCGTGATACTCGGGGGACATGAAACCTGGAATTAAGTGTCAGCAGCTCCTGGATGTTGTAAAACATCTTGCATGCAAAGAGCTAACACAAGACAAGTCCTGAAGATGCTCCATCTAGTTCCAACATTGCATCCACCATTTCACCACTGCCTTCAATCCCCCGTTGTCACTAGGCAACAGTCTAATGCCTCTACACAGCTTGCGCTTCAGCTCATTCCAGTCTAAAAGAGAGGTCTGTTTAGGGTTTAGGTTTTTTAGTAGGTTACGTTGCCTGACTGATACAATTCGATTCTACACAATTTGGAGGATTAAAACCAATACAAGACACATCAGTCATAATCTTCCTGGCTGAAAACAAAGCACAAATCTAAAGTCAGTCAGCGCGTTCAACACAAGTCTCCATGCCTTTATGTTGTTCTTCATATGTACAGGCGATCGCGATCAGACAAGCATACACGTATCCGAACAAGGTCGTCAGGAGCTGTTAAATCTTCCCGACAGAGAGTGCTCGCGTGTCAAATCTTGGGCTATCCACTCTGCTAGATAGCCTCGAGCATGCCTCGCTTGCCTCACTACCCAACCTCTGCTCACCAGGGCGACACGAGGCGGCTGGGGTCCTTCTGCTATCAAATCGCTATGTACTAGGATCAGCTACTCTCATCGATAGACCATAATGCACAATCTCTCAGCAGCTGCACCTCACACCTCCCCATTACCCTCGGATTCATTCCTGCTTGCTGCTACCCAGTGCCAGTCTTTCCGGAAACCAACTGCAGTCGGACCAAACAGTAGAGGGGAATTACAAGTTCGACATCACGTTGAAGGACTGAGACAAGGACCGTTTGCAACTTGAAATAGCACAAGACGCCATATCCAGCTGCCCAGCCGCCCAAGACGACACCAGATGAGACCAAGCGCTATCCTGGTCTTGGGTCGAGGCAGCGAGCAACAGGAGCAGAGAAGGGCATGAGATTAGGATGAGACAGAGAGGCAACACAACATGAGAGGGGCAAGGAGAATCATCCGCACACACCCTCTTCCTCCTCCTCCTTCCCCGCTCTCTTCCGCCCTCGCCCCCCTCGCTCTCACCATCGCCCTCGATCAAACTTCCCGCCCCTCACCTTCCAACCCCCCCCCCCTTCCCTCCCCCACCCGTCATCCCCACCCCCACCCCCAGGTCGATTGTACCCAACCCCCCGAGATTTTTATAAACCAATCATGCCGCCCTGATTTCAATGCATAAGACCTCTACCCCACCCCTAGTTCCAATGTACCCACCTTCCTCTTTACTCCTTGCCCGACCGGTACCACCCGTCCAGCCATTTCACTGCTCTGATCCTGAACACATGCCCCTACTTCAGCTCTTTCGGCCTTACGCTCCAATAAATTTTCCCCATCCCTCAAACATCTCCATGCCTCCCGCCTAAGCACGGCACTCTTTCGCCCTTCCCGTTCGAGCACCTACCCCTGGTGACATTGACCCCACCCCTTTCATATCCGATACCCTTCCGGCCCCCCTTCTTTCCTGCCCTCCTCACCGTCTCACCCCACCCCAAAAATGGTCATTCCCTGCAAGGATGGAACACCTCCCCCCACCCACCCCCTCCGAGAACCCTTAGATCCACCCCTACTTGCTTTAACAGACAAGCACCCATGGTCTTGCTCTGAGACCCAATCTCACCCCTACCCCTTAACCAGGACTAGACCCCCCACCCACCCCAGCCGACTCTCTTTTCCGCACACAGAAATATCTGTTAAGAGGGTCTGTTCAATTACCCACCCATATATTTTAGCACTTAATGTGGTCAGAATAACCCCTGTTCGTCAGCTCGACCCCTTTTCTGCCTTCTGGAACCCAAAAACCATCCCCAACTACCCCCATTTCTGACTACCCCACCGTCTCTTTACTTTCACCCCACTCTCTCAAGCATGTCTACCAACCCACCCCCCTCATTCAGACACCCACCCTTCCTTTCCCCTCTCTTTGCGACTCTTACACAGATCTGTCCATACTTCTGCTCCACCCCCTGCCACCCCAGTACCCCACCAGGACCAATATTCCACCCCCCATGATCCATCCCTATAATCCCTGCAAGAGTCCCACTGGATTGTTGAGTAATCATGACCCTACCCCCTCATTCCCTGCCTTACCCAGGGGTGACTCAAGACCCTTGTACCTCACAAACTATAGTTCAGATCAGGAAATGGCTTTTTTACGAAAGGGGTGGGTGGTGAGGGGATTAGGGTGGGTAGTCAAATGAGCGTCAGAGGTAGAGTTTCAAGCATTGGGCAAGTTTTCAAATCCTCGCACCCCCCCCCCCCCTCCGATGTTCGGCACGGGTGAGGGGATAGGGGTAGGGTACTTGCTCTCCAAAACGTCCGAGGGTAGGGTGGCATGATGGGATCTCGAGATAAAAAGAAGACTAATAGAATGGAAGAAAGTCGAAGAAGTGCATTTTCAAAACCTCTCCGGTCGGAGAAGCACCCCTACCCCCCCTTTCTCTGAAAATTGATGCCTTGTACGGATCCTTCACCCAAGTACCTACCCAGGACTTAAGTCGTATTACATGGTCAAAAGGAGGGGTTATTGAGACAAAGGTTACACGACCTCTCTTTGTCTCTTGAACGCTTCAGAGGGACAGGGATCCGTTCACCCACCCCTACTACCGATTGGAGTTATTTAGAGGGGGCGCCAGAAACCTTCGACCTGCTCCTGCCGTTACACGGCGGTTTTAACCTTTGTTTTTTTAGTCTGGTTTTGAGACGTTGTGATATAGGGGAAAAGCAATCGAGTTTCTTCCTAAAATCAGTCAATAATTTGTACCACGACCTTAACTTTTAGAGTTTTATCCAATTTGTTTTTCTTTTTAGGAACTGTTGCATTAAGGGTCGAGTGACATTTTGGGTGGGAAGATTCCAGTATGGCAGATGAGATGTTGCCAGCCTCCGATGACGCTGTACCGGCGCATCCGACAAAACCAGAATCAGCTTCAGTGAATGGAAACGAGGGTAACATCTCTACAGACAGTTTGCAGAGTACATCAGGCAATGGTTCTGAACGCAAAAGGAAAAAGTGGCCATCTGATGAATCTACTGTTGCAGAAATGATGCTCAAAGTGGCCAAAGTCTGGTTGGACATGGATCTGTCCATCATTGAAGGAGCCAAGACTGCCCAGTGGGAAGCCCTACTCCGTGTGTTGGAGATAGATGATCTTTTCTTCAAAGGCATTTATTGGAAGACAATCAGTTCCAAATTTGAGGAATACGTCAACAAGTTCAAGAAACAAATGCGTCCTTGTTCAGGAGGTTTGGGCAATGCATCTGGTAATGCTCGCCAGTCCTATGGTGAAAGGGAGCAGGTATGGCAAGATGTTGTCGACAGGATCGATACTTTTTACAGAGACAAGGAGATGGCAACAAACAGAAAAAGAATTCCTATTTTCATGTTGTTTTCAATATACCGCCAACTGTTCTTGACTTCGCCAAAGCTGTTCTCAACCGATATACGAAACTTGGACATGATCAGGTTCAAACGAGCATGATCCGCTGTTGGAGGTGCTCTGAATGCACGCTGACATACCATATTCATTGGGAATGCGCTATCCCCATATAGATAAAAGTTGCGGCCCAGCGCGCCCTGCATTCCACCCAGATCATGAATAACATTTGTCTCTCATCAGAGCTGCACCATGCCTCCTACCTTCATATGGTCCACTCATCAGGAGAATACCATTTCTAAGTACAACACCAAGATAATTGAGACAGTGACATCTTTTGTGTCCATTGTATACAGTTTCCTGGTCGATGCTTTGACGTACGCACGTGTCTCCCCCTGGTCGATTGATCTCTTGCTGTTGAGCACTCGGGAACTGGCATGTTCCCAAAGATGCGCAAGATTCTTGGGTTGTAATCGTTGCACGACAACTTACATGATCATGTTACACTAATCTGCAACAGACTGCAAAGCTGTCCTTATCATCGCTGTTCGTTGCACAGGTGGATATCGACGTATATGTGTGGGTCCATAGGCTCGATGACGTGGGGGACGGGGCATGTCCAGTCAGCTCCGCCTTCAGAACAGGATAGGGAGGAAGGAAGGTATGCAGGATGGTGAACGATCCTTGCGAAGGCCAGAGGGAGAACCTTGAACTCGCAACGGTTGGCAAGCCAAAGGTTCTGGTTGTTAGCCCTCCCTTTGACTAAAACATTTGTACCAGGAGCTAATCCTGAGGTCTCTGCCCATAAAAAAAGCCCCCCTGTCAGCATTCGTCCACCCTCCTGCATCACAACCCCCCTACCCCTACCCCCCCTCTTCTACCCCACCCGAAGTCTGTACCCGCCTCCCCCCGCCTTCACTTGGCACTTGTCGTTTGGCGGGACCTGACTGCTTGGGCGTTGGCAAAAGAAAAAAAAGAAAAAGAAAAAGAAAGAAAACGTCGGGCCAACCCCTCAGCGGCTTAAGCCTATCAGGTCTGCTAGCAGGTAGTCTAGTAGTCCGACTGTCGTCAGGTTGACCTTCAGTCACACTCGAGCTCAAGGCTGACAGCGGCAGCAGCACCAGCCGGAACTTGAGGGCTGGCAAGGGAAAGAGGAAGCGAGTCTAGGGAAGAAGATAGTTTATGTCCCTCCAAGAAGGTGTGTACCCCGAATCCAATCACATTTTTTTACCGATAAAAATGAAGTTTAAAACACGAGCCTTGAAGATCTCAAGGGTTAGAGAGAACACAAGGCACCATGATGACAGGAAGCAGGCACAGCCAAAATCACAGCGCCAGCAGCGAAGAATCGCATACTTGAGAACAAAAGTGCCATATTGTTCTGTGGAGTTGATTGTGCAACAGGAGCTTGCAGCAATCGGGAGCAAAATTAGCTATCGGACGAGGTGAGCATCTTGGGGAGGAAGGGGGAGAAAGCGAAAGAGGGATAGCAGCAGAGAAAAGGCAGGTCAAGGGAATGTTTAAGTGTGAAATAAGAGGAGGGTCCTGGGAAAGAGCAAGGGAAGGGACAATTCATACATCGCAAACCTTCCTCTAAAGCTTAACCGTCAACGACGGAGGATGAGGCACCTCAGTGAGTTCTTGGGGGCAAGATGCATCATCACGCTCTCATAAACTCTCATCTCGGTCCTGCCACGCGTGCATGACCAGTGAAAGCAGCAGCACATCGCACATGCAGATATCTGACACCGTTGGACGAGGTGCGAGAACTTGAGACCTCCGCCTCCCCCCCCCTCTCAATGGAGGCGGAGGTCTCAAGTTGCACTACATGGTTGCTGTCAATCTTCTATTTCAACTTCCCCTGGTCCTCATCAGCTGCTGCTCAGACTTGTAGCCCTCCCTCACAATGCGATGTTGTATGATTTGATCTAGTTGCCACTCGCATCATCTGCTTTTGTGCATCTTGCAGGTGGAAAGCAGCGAGTGTCATGGCATGAACATATTGATGGTGAGGGAGAAATACACGATAAATACCAAGTAGAGCAAGACATCAAAGCAAGGCATGGGTGCAGTTGACAAGCAGATGATCGAGCATGTAGAGCAGGAGCTGGGCAAGAATGGCGAGGATCGAGCTAGAAGCAAGAAGGGTTGAAGCAGGGGCAGGGGCAGGTAGAGAACCGCCTGCTTTCGTAAGGAAACGTAGGAAGGAAATATAGACCAACGGGTAAGGAAACAGCATTTTCTTGCTGATAAGGAGGGGTGATTCGCTGTTGTCAAATGGGTAGTGAACCTCTTGGGGGTGGGGGTGGGGGTCGAAAATGCTTTGGCTGCCCCAGCGCATACTGCCCTCCTCCTCGCTCTCACACGAGGATGCGCGAATCCTTGCAGCAGTCAGCTGCTCTCACTCGTAACTCTCTCTTCCTCGTCCTCCCTCCCGTCCCCATCATCCTATCATTCAATCTCAAGTTCTCTTCGTTTCTCACTTTCGTTTTTTACAAACTCGACTCATCATTGACCAACAGAAGCTACACAAGCTACATCTCCTCTCCTCTCCTCTCATACCATCACATCACATCACATTAAAATCCCATCTCCATCAATGAAATCATTTGAAAGCTTCTCATATTTAACAATCTCATTTCTCTTAAAACTCATTTCTCTTAAAACATTGGAATAATATTTCAAGCAGCACAATCATGGCGAACCACAGATATCCAGATCAGATTGAAGCGAGGGAGGAGGCGAGGCCCTGCGCGAGCGGTTGGAGCGTCGCGACGAGCTTGTAGGTGCGCGAGGAGGAGAAGGAGGGGGAGGAGGAGGAGGAGGAGGAGGAGGAGGAGGAGAAGGAGGAGGAGCGAGAACGGGATGGTATCATCGTATGTATGAAGCCTCGAGCGTGTCACCTCTGAGTCTGGCGCTGCGTGTACTTGACGTGCCTGGCGTGTTGTCGCTGCAGCTGGGTACAGCTGCTCTCAGTCTCCCCTGGGGTCCGCCTGCGCCGCGAGCCTGGGCCTCTCCCTCGTTGCCTACGCGTCTGCTCTGCTTGCTGGGGTTGTTGCTTGCTGCGTCGCTGCTTGTCTGCCGTCTGGCTCCTCGTACGACTGTCGCGCGCAGCGGAGCGGGAGGAGCGCGTGAAGCATGACACGATGTGGCCACTGGGGGAGACGGGGGGGCGGGGGAGCTTGCAAGAAGCGCCGAGGAAGGCGGCTCCCTCAGACAAGCACGACATGGGCGAGCGGGTCGGCGAGGAGCAGGAGAAGGGAGAGGAGAGGGGAGGGGGGCAGGGGTCAGAAGGAAGGTCACAAACGAGAGGAGGGAGGGGAGCGACGGCTGCATCAAAGCAGGAGCACAGTGAGGGAGGAGTGCCACGAGCAAGCTGCGGAGTCCCGGCAGGGTCCGAGCAGCAAGAGCCCCTGGTGGGTTGCGACAGTCGACCAGCAGCCCATCCCTTCCTCCTCCCTTCCCCTGCGATTCGAGTCTCCGACCTCCCTCGCTCGTCAACCAGGGGGGTCGTCGCTTCGCTGGGCTGCGGAGCTCCTGCTTCCTCGGCTTGTCGCTTCCCGCGGGTCTGGGCTTGCGCTCCGCCTGCTGGCGGTCCACGTGCAGCTGTGCTCCTGATGCTTGCGAGAGGAGCTCGAGACGCCTGCTGTCCGTCTAGCAGAGGTCGGGCTCCTCCGAGACATCTGTTGGCTTGTCTGTCTTTATCGCAGTGGTAGTGCCATAGCGACTCCTCAGGTCT